GACACAACCGAGTGGGTTTGAAACACTCTTCAAATGTTTGTTTTTGCAATATTAGCATTGGACGCACGCATAATTTATAGTTAAGATATTGGCTTTAGACGCCTCTTTTCTGCCTCTAATATCGTGTTTTATTAAAACCGTCCCAGGAAACTAACCGCGGGTAATTTTTAAAAAGTTCGTCTGCCCTGAGGTCGCGCAATTCTTCCAAAAGACGTTCAGTGAAAGTCTGCATAAGTGTCATTCTAAAAAGGGAAACTAAGTTTTGTATCAGGTTTCTTGGGATGGTATAAAGTTTTATTTTCGTTGTGAAGTTAGTCGATATTCCGTATCAACTGATGTTGATTCAAGGGCACGGGCAAACTAAGTTAAGTTTAAAACTCAACATAACCTAAAATAGGCGGGTAGTTTGTAAGTAATTCCCAGGGGCAAAATATTACTAACAAGCGTTTACAGTCAATTTGACTTCATTGTGAGGAATTTGGTTATGAATAACAGGAAATGACTTGATTCAACGACGGAAGTCACTGTAAAAGGGAACTTGACTGCTTTCACTCCCTCAGAAGGAAACTTAAGGAAGTTAACATGTGGCGTATGTTTGCCCGGAATTACGTTGCTTTCGAATAGACTCTCGAAGGCGCTGTGATATTGCGCGCAGGGCTTGTTTACTGAGTTATAATACATTCTGTAGAGTGTACAGTACTCACTTGCGTAGATAGGGTAGAAGTTGACCCCCCTTAGGATAACCCACGTAACTCGTGTAACTATGACGCTCCAACTTATCTGTTATCAGCCTGTAATTGCATTTAGTCAATATTTAGTCTAGTCTTTAATTTCCAATCAACGCTTTTCATTCTTCGTGATCAATGATTCGTGAAGGAAGTGTTTTCATTCTCTTCACGGACTTTACAAGTTAAGACTCAAGTGAAAAAAGTCGCGGATGTTTCGTTATCAAATCTGAGATTATGGACGTCATAGTCTCCGTGTGACTTTATTTTCTTTGACGTAATGACTTGATACTATCACAGATACAGGGATGGGTCAAGGCCTGTGCATAAAAAAAATTGAAATTTTTGCTTAATTCTTCAAGTTTTTCATTTGCAAACTGTATGACCTTTTCCATCCCTAACCGTCTTTCTTTCTTTATGCTTTTCCTTTCTTTTAAGCATAGCTATCTTTTTGCTATTTATTGAACTCACGTCACAGATAGTTTCTCTGGCTTACAAACGATCGAGCGATTCGAACGAAATAACAGCAACGATGACTGACATTTCCTACTTAAGTCGCTAGAGCTTCAGTGACATCCACGCACTCTCAGCCATACAAAGGCAAAATACGAATGAATTTTAAGCACAGCATGAGCAAGGATAAATCAGAGAGAGCATTTATAAGGAAGTCACAGGGATATAATCTGTTTAGCGGGCGCTTAAAGTAACAGGTCCCAAGTATGGTAAAGGTGTGCTCTCCCACCTGTTCCTTGTGAGACGCTCTCACCGAGTGCCTAAGGCTAGGTAGGCAGGCAGGCATATTTTAGGAAAACACCCGACAAAAATGTGTCTCTTGTTGTTGTTGCTATTGTTTTTTTTGTCGCTCTTTTTAAATTATTCAGCAAATCAATTTTGTATCAAGCGAACTGTTAATTACTTCTTGGCGCCTCGTTTGATTTGCTATCCAGTCCCTTTTTTGTTCGACGAAACAAAACCTATTTTATGATAGTTTTCACTACTGAACGCCAGTTTCATTGTGTTTCGGTATATATCATGGATACAGTCTCGAAGCCCTCGGGGTCAACGTTTGGTGAACTGTAATTTCAAAAGAGATTGATCTCGTTCTCATAAAGTTCTCTACTTCAGTGAAAATAAGGCAATATTACTTCTAGTATTGAAAAACGTGAGTTGGTTGGTTGGTTTTGCAGGTTGGACCGTCAATTTGTACGAACAACCAAGTGATCCTTAAAACAATGAATATCATCGTAGAGAACAAAAATAGTAACGTTAACACATTAATTGACAAACTGTCTGTCTATTTTTGTACTTCATTTTTTTACTATGTATAGCACCCGTTGTATTATTACACAATAAAAGGTACTTATAATTCCTATGGGGTAAATTAAAACACATTCCAGAAGATAAGAATAACAAGCTGTCGTTGCGTTACAGTATTGTAACGGTAGTTCTAAGGCCTTTCTGCAAAAAGGACATAAAATCGCCTAAATACATCCCTGGAAAGTTTCAAAAGCCTCTCTTAGCTATCCCAAAATTCTCAGAATATCGCATATCTCTTTATATAATTTCCCTTTCTTTCAACAACTGATTTTGAGCCGTTTAGGTCAAACTCTGCGGTTGAGGAAGTCGAAAAAGTGCGCAAGACAATGTAGACGCAGACGTTAATATCTATAATGTTTATATTAATCACGAAAATTCTGCCACAGAAAAGCTGACTCGACGGAAAATGCTTAAATGTTTTAAAATATCCCTAAATTTCAATGTATCTAGATGTTTTTCTAAATATCTCGATGAAGTATGTAAATGTTTGTGGAAAGGTCTGGTACATACAAGATTTTAACAATCACTGTGATTAGAAAATCGATCAAAGTCAAAAATCACTTCAATATAGCAATAGTTTGTGATTGCTGTACTAGAGATCCTTAAAAGCTTGGAATTGCGCTTATTGTCAGCGCAGCTGATACATTAACTTGACGGCACTAGCGTTTGATCTTCTTGTTTTTCTCGAGAAACTGACAGCTGCTTCTTCGGCAACGACTACAGAAGTGCTAGTTCATTGTCAGAGCTGGAATGTTAATAGCAAGAGATAATAACCACCGAATAGCTATCAAAATCACCTCTTTTTTCATATCCAGTTGCAACATACGTTATGAATGGACGCTATGAATCGAGAGTGGACACTGATGACAAGTTACTTGATTGAGAGAGAATCCATTGTTATCCTTGACATAGAGAGGGGACCCTTTTCCTTCTGAGAGACTCGAGATTTTGAGCTTTACTTCTTGAGACTAACTATTCTTGATGAGGAAATATTTCACTAAGTTAAGGCAGAATTCATTTAATGTGGTTCGTGAGTAAACTTTATGCTAATTCCACCGTCTCAATGAATATTCTCCTCTATTGCAGGTTTTAGGGCGAGAATATGTAAACATAAATCATAAATTGACCTTTGAAATTCGCTAAGAACAAGTGTCAGAAAAAATTATTTAAAAATATTAGTCTATGACTTGTTTTCTTTTTTAAGCGAAACTTCACAGCAGTAACTTTTTTACTATGCTTGTTCGTGACACGTGAAAAGTCTCCCATGTTTCTACCTGAATTATGAGTGTTTTCATATAAAAACCGCCGCCTCGTTCAGGGTATTTTACTTCGTACATGGCTGCTTATGAAGAGTGGTTACCGAACATTCTCCACAAAATGCTAATTAACTGAACTGAGAAAAAGTTAACACGTCTATGGAGAAACTTATTATTATGTTTAACATGACAAATGATGGCATTTAACTGTCAAAAACACCTGCCAATTATGACAAACACTCATTGCATGCAAGCCACAGGAAACTAATTATATGAACGTGACCATGATTTTGAAATGCGTGGGGTGAGGAGCCGGAGTTATGCGAGCATAAGATCCAATTTGCGCGCTTAATTCATAGAAAGTTACTTGCGTCTTTATCTTTTGCGCCATTTTTCTTTACGACTTACAAACTAATGGAAGACAAACATGAATTTAAAGGTCTAACCTTGAAAGCTAAAAAACCAGAAACTTTCGAATCACTTGCTGCAACGCGAAAAGTTGCCTTAAAAATGTAGGAAACCACAAAAATATCAGTTTTGCAGGATAGGAACACACTAAAATGAGTCAAAAGGGAACGAAAAAGGTTAGGGATACAGGACCCTGGCCATGCAAGGATTGCAGATGAAGAACTTACAGAATGCAGTCAATTCTTTAAGATATACAAACACTGACTTAACTACTTCAAGGAAAATTGTACTTGGATATCTTCCAGCTACCTACCGCCTTAGCCACACTTAACGTGCAATAGATCAAGGGGCAACAGCTTGGCTGGATTTGAAACAAGATTTAGTGAATCTTTTAACAGAAATTAAGGGTTTTCGTTGATCCTGAACATATGCAATATCAGAATTTGCTGATATTAGTTTCCGACTCCTTTCAACAGAGACTCGTTCTGTTAATTTTACTTACATTGTGGTTGCTAAGTGAGATATACCACAATTTCCACAATTCATGACACTGGGCTGGCGTTGAGGGCTTTCCGCTCATGGAAAGACATTATTTGTATCTGTTGAAAAAGTTACGCGTGGAAACAGTACATCCTTTTCTCTCATCTAACATTAACTTCCTTCGCGGTCCTATTGCAGACTTCTTTCTCAACTCATCAGTACGCCTATAAAAACTAAGGAACTCGCCATCAATATGAAATAGCAACTTAACAGCATATAGCAATAAGTAAGAAGTGTAAGGTGAGAGTTATTTTGTTATAAAATTCCCTAATTATCAGAGAGCGACTAACGAAATCTCCACAAAGTGTACAATAACAGTGGTGTTTAGAACAACTTTTTCTCGACTGATAAATAAGGGAGGAGGACACTTATGAAGTATGACACGCTCGTATTGAATTCTCCATTCATCCTCCCTTGCCTCTGAAACCAGAACACACTCGGCAAGGGTGTCGTCATAATTAAACAGACTGTTATTTCTTTGTAATACTAGACTGCCAGAACAGAGAAAACACAACTGAACCTTTTGTTTACTTGAACGGCGACATGTGCCCAACAGGTGGAGGAGTGAATTAGTTTTGCAAACGATAACAACGGAACTGATTAGTAAACGGAAACGAAATGCCACAGACTTGTCAAACCTTTTTATGTATCTTGTTTCTCAAAGGTCTCTTTGTAGAGGGTTTTCTCCGAGGTATGCTGTACCCCAGGGAATCCGAGACTCGGCAAGTGAAATCTTTGGATGGGATGTGGGATTTCCGGGCGGATATTTCCTCAATTGGGTTCGATGAGATGTGGTATTCGTTGCCCTTAGCACAGGTAAACAGCAGCTACAAATCAGGAAATATTGGTTACTTTGATTTCAGGGGAAAATCAAATCAGATCACTTGACCAGACAGGGACATGCCCTTATAGGAAAAATGATGAAGTTTGGACAGAGTAGGCTCACAGGAAAATTTTGAGAGCCATTTGCACCGAAGCCTTCACTTTCACTAACTAATTTTGTATAACGCTTGACTGATTATCATTTAATTCATACATAAATCTAGATTCCTGCGAAATGGTGTCAGCACATCCTGCAGACTAGATGTGTTTCATTTTATATTGAACCAGGCTGTTCACTCACTGCGAGAGTTTTCTTACCGTAGAGACACATGACAAGAGATCATTAATTTGACTTAAAATAACATCCCCGAAATAAAAATAATTACACTCGATGAAGATTGTATATTCAAAGATTTGGATCGAATCGGTTATCACCTCATCACCGGCATGCACGAAATATATCGACTTTTAAGGAATAGTTTCTCTTTGGTCACTTCTGAGAGTGAAAGGATTTGTTATCATCATCTCGTCATCAATTAATGCAGGTTGGCGATGTTCTTGCGATGCCTGTTCCTTCCAGTTACAATGATGTCACAGAAGACCGCTGGCTTAGGGACTTCGTTGGCTGGGTGTGGTATGAGAAAGTCTTTTATGTGCCATCATCCTGGAAATCGACCTCCAAAAGAGTGGTCTTGCGCTTCGACAACGTATTTTATCGTTGTAAAGTGGTAAGATAATCGTTCAACTTTTTACACTGAGGAACCCCAGTAAGACAGAAAGGGGTTTACTTTATATGTGGAGGTCAGAACTTCTAATGGAAACAAATATTACGCGAAAATTATAGCAGGAGAGTACATATGGCGATAGAGAGGGAAGCTGCTGGCCCAGGTCATGAGATATATCATGGCTTATGTATAGTCACACCTTAGTCCATGGCAAGTACAAAGGAACGTTCTGTTTTGGTTGTTGTCTGATAATTATATCCATGAAGTTTCAGGGAATACAAAATACTTCTTGGATCGGATATGCTGCTTCGTTGATCAGTTCTCGCCTAGTATTCAAACATGCAAATGATACTGGGAATGGCCAAGCGGCTTAGAGGAAGAAGCCCCACTGAATGAACCTGAAACGTCTGCTGTCATACCATGTCTGATATTTTCCTAATCATCCTGCCACAAAATTTAGCTAAGACTTGTGTGACTAGTCGCTATCGACACATTTTTTGCTTTAATTTGATTGCAGTGGTTGAATAGCAAAGAGATACTGGAACACGAAGGAGGAGACTTGCCCTTTGAGGTTGACATTACGCACCAACTTGATAGCTTTGCTAGAGATTCACACAGACTGACAGTGGCAGTGAATAATACAATAAGTCAACCAAGAAAAGTAAAGGCTAGTAGGAGGTAGTTATTCAAACAAAAGACTTGCATAATTATTACTTAGAACGGAAGATTGAGGTATTCATTTGAAGTATCTGTCAGCTGTCTCTACTCGTTCACAAACCTTACTTTAGGCCAAGCGAATCAATCCAGTAGCGCATACTCTTTTCTACATTTGACTCAGTTCAGCCACATACATAGTCGAGAGTTGATCCATCCCAAATCAGTGTCGTATAAAAATAAAACTGATGTAATCGCAACTGCAACTAGGTAATAACAGCTCAAAGGAAAAGCGAGGAAGCTGCCGGAAGCACGGGAAACGCTAGAGACCGGTTATAGTCTCGCATTTTATTATTTCCGGGTAGTTTAAGTCTTCCTTTTTTTTTTCTTCAATCCAAGAGAATATTAAAGTAAAACAAATCCAATCCCGAGTTACTTTCGACCGTGAACTGAAAATTTCTCCAGCTTACCCTTAGTTTGTTTGGCGCCTTCCCACATAGGAACATTAAACATGTTAAGTACTAATATACCATTGATAGAGTTCATGCCGCCAAATGCAGGAAATAATCAATGCAATATCTTTCTTCCTTAGCTCAAGTTACTGCGATTCAACAAGTGATCAGTTGACAGAAGTCGACTTCGCCGGAATCCACGGCTCAGTTAAACTCTACACCACTCCGGAAGTGCATTTAACAGACATCTCTGTATTTACGGAACACACTTACACCAGAGCCATACTCAAATTCGTCACAGAGGTCGCAGCCTACAATCACGTCAAATCAAAAGACATTATCATGAGTTATGAGCTGCTCGACAGGAAGGGAAGGGTGGTGTCATCTGCGGGTGGGGAGGGGATGTTCAGTGGGAAGGTCACAGTGTTTTTCCCAACCTTGTGGTGGCCCATAGGTATGAGTGACAAGCCTGGTTATCTGTACAATCTCAAGGTAAATTTATTTCACTCATACATAAAGTATTTCTTGTAGGTGTACTTATGGTTATATCTGAATCGAGTTTCGGAGGTTGAAAACGAAAAAAACTTTCTAATCCTCGTTCCCCAACATTTTCGATTAGATCATAACTGGATCCTATTATGACGGCCGTCTATGACGTCATCAAGGGAGGCTTGTCCTTCCCTTCCCGGACTTTGCACGGACAACTAAACAAGAAAGAGCCCCTGAAGGCTAGGCTACGACTATCTTTCTAAATCTAGTCTCGTCGATCTACAACATCGAACTCAAGCAACCTTTCATGACACGATCATTCCTTGCCTCACTGAGAAGATTAAAGATGTTCTCCATGTGCCCGACTCGACATACTTAAATTCAAACCTTCACTATGTGATCAGTAAGGATTATAAGATTTTGCTCTTCTCTTTTAGGTTATCACGTCTTATAAAGGAATTAATGATGTCTACAATCTTCCGGTGGGCTTCAGGACCGTCCGAGTAGAGGGCTCAAGGATCCTCATCAATAATGTTCCATTGTACTTAAAGGGGTTTGGAAAAAGGCAGGATAGTGACGTAAGCCCCTTGTTAAGGTGTTCCAAGAGTTTCCTTGTAATTTTCAGTGCTCCTCAGTCCATTTGAAGCTCTTCACTGTTGAGAAAAGAGGTCACATATGATTATATTTGAGCACTTCTTCTCCTTGCAGATTCGTGCTCGAGGTTTTGATTATGCCACCTTAATTAGAGACTTCAATCTGATTCAGTGGTTTAGCGCCAACTCCATCCGCACAAGTGAACACCCACCACCCGAGGAGCTTCTGGAACTTACAGACAAATATGGAATTATGGTCATCAACGAAAGCCCAACTGTGGCACCCAAAGAAGTGTATCAGTACGTGTTTACATTAACCCCCCCCCTCCATTACATACACTTAAAGTGAATGGAGCCTCCCCCCTAATAAAATTGCTGTAAACTCGAAGAATCTCATTCATGAATTAAGACGGCATCAGATCTTTCCCTAATTGAGAAAGCACCACCCAAGCTGTTCAATAACTGATCTCGTTCTTTGTATGTTGTCACTCGGAAGTATATAAAGAGACCGCTTTCGCAGATGGCGTGCATGAACTCGATTTGTGTGAAGTTTTTTGTCGTTTCATGCTATACCTCCCTTCGTTTTTGGGCGTTTCATTTATTTTACAGGCGTGTAACGTAAGTGAATATCATTGATTAGGTGTTTCAGGTATATCAATTTGAGCCTATGGCAACATGGCTGCTGCCCTTTCTTTTCATTTCATGAAAACTATCATCAATTGTTTTTACTTCACCAAAGATTATGCCCTTAAGTTAACTGTTTATATCTTACTGATACAAATATTAGAGACCATATTACAGAGCATGCAGTCAACCGCCATGTTGACTTGCTGTCAGAGTTGATACAACGGGATAAGAACCACCCATCTGTAGTGATGTGGTCTGTAGCAAGCCATTCAGTAACAGTGCGCAGTGGGAACATTGATTCACATTTAAAACGAATGATGGACTTCACACGAGAGATGGATTTACAGAAACGGCCTGTTACGTACGTCACCTCTTCATATGACAAGTTGATGATTATGGAAGATCCTGGGGTAAGAGAGAGAAATTAAAGTTTGCAATTTTTTTTATCTGGTCGGAATATCTGGTTCACACTTTGGTGCTTCTTTAAATTGCGCCGACTCTAATCATTGATTACTTCGGCTTCTCTAATTAAGGTGGCATGTGAGGACTTCAGATTATCGTTCCAGTCCTCATCTCTCCATTTTCCGAGCTGATACATTTTCCCTCTTACTCAACTTTCTACCTATTTCCTTTTCTCAGCTTCAATTCTGTGACGTCATTTCTTTCAATCGTCACTACGGTTGGTATTGGTACCCAGGCCAACCCTCGTTGATTTCGAAGTCTCTAGAGGAGGACCTGCGTGGCTTACATAATGTGTTTGGTAAACCAGTTCTCATGGCCGAATATGGCAGCAGCGCTGTTTCCGGGAGACACAAGGTAATACAATAAAACAACTAATCAGCCGAATTAAACCAATTACGAGAGTGAAAGCAAAGGAAACTATCCTTTATATCACCGAATGAGGACAAATTTGTTGGAAAGGATATACTAAATTGTTGAGTTCAGTAGCCTTTAAGCAGGTACAGTAAACCGTTTTCCTTTGGATCCTAACCCTTTACAGCCTAACATCAGTATAAATGTTCTCCATACTGCTCTCTAAGCATTTCTTGTGGTGCTGATAAGGAGAATTTGTTGAACAATCTGAAGCTTCTTAAATTGGTGATCATTTCCTTTATTCTCATGACCTTTACTTTCGATTGAAAGGTGATAATGTCAGGAGAAATTAGATGCCAGTCACTCTCAGGGGTTAAAGGTCATGTCAACAGTTCAGCTTGTGTTACAGCATGGAGGTTGTAACTTTAGGGTAGTGATTTGTGTGTGTGGGTGTAAATGTTTGTGTTTACTTGCTAAAATCGGTACTTGGAGTAGGTATCACGTTTCACTCAATCCTGTAATATTAGCAAAGCTTTGTCTTCACTCGCTGATATTCCCTTCAAGGAGGGTTTGCATCTTCCATTACATTTGCTGACTTTGTTAAGCTTCCTCTGAAAATGACTTTTGATTTTGTTTTATATTGCATTAGAAACCGTCTGTGCTATATACCGAAGAGTATCAGGTAAACATTTAAGATACTTTGTTTCACAAATGAAGCTGAGGTTTCATACACGCCTTATCAAACGAAGTTTTTGAGTGCGAAAATTAAAAAAAACCATACCGAAACAAGCGAGCACTTCGGCGAGTCACTGTACATGTGAACTGGTGAACCACAAGCGCAATTCTATATATTTCCTGCGCGTTAAACACTGTTGTAGATCTCGTGGTTTTAAAACTCTTGCCATGTATCTAAAGCGATGCCAGCGTTTAAAATTTGAGTTTCAGTAATTTAAGAGCATTCCCTTACCAGGCAGAGGTTGCTTTTAAATCATTAAAGGAGTTTCCTCTCATGGTGAAGAGGGGATTGTCTTACCTAGGTTACCTTCTTACAGGTGTACCAGTCACATCATTTTATGTAGAAAGCACGACTTAACTATACATATCAAAGATGAACTACAATAAAATTAAACTGAGTTATTTTATGTAGACAGCACGACTTAAGTATACATATCAAAGATGAACTGCAATAAAATTAAACTGAGTTGCTTTACTTCAAGCGCTCTAACTCTTAAATAAACTTATTCCCAGGTCGACACAATGAAACAATATTTCCCAGTATTTGATCGACTCAGGAAAGAATTTCTGGCAGGAGAAATGATCTGGACTTTAACAGACTACAACGTTCTAGAATGTAAGTGGAAAGGTTGGTTAAAAAGCCTAGCAAGCCCTATTAATACTAGTGAGTACGACACCAGTCAAGCACTCTCTTACTCCCCTCATCGCATATTAATATTCTCCGTTAGCGGACGTCTGCTTTTGTTCTTCTTGTGCACCTACGAGATTGATTCAATCACGCAGATTGACTTGACTTTTGTTTCATTTTATATGAAAATTATCCAGTGAGGTATCAAACAGCATTTCAATCACCTGTTAATGCTCAAATAACAGTGAAATGATTCTTATCTAAATTTGAACTCCATACTGCATTCTTACAGCTTATGACACCATGTCAACTAACACGAAGGGACTCTTGACGCGTCAAAGACAACCAAAGGCTTCTGCGCACGCTCTTCGGCAGAGGTATCAAGCCTTGACAGTGGACACGCATCCAAGGTTTACTGGTGATCAGTTGCTGGATGTCCTTATTAGATTCAAGCCTCACGAAGGAGACAAGTTCCCCATCGCCATCCACAACAGACTACCTGCTTTGATAAGAGAAGAAAGAGTAAATACAACAATACGGAAACGCTCCTTGAACGAGATAATGACATACTACGAACCGTGATGACCGGGTCAACGAAGTGTTTTATTTGAAAATGACTCACGAGGGACTCATATGTAGTGACATTTTCCCATATGATACTCGTGGTAAAACTCATTCAAAAATGTACATGAATTTAGGTGCGAATTTTTTATTAGAGAGAGTTGGTCATTAAGGTGAAAAAAAGGGGTTGGTCAAAACATTTTGGACTTAGGCTTTACACTCAAATTGGCAAAGAGAGCCACATATTTCCATCTTCCAGCTGCATCGTGTATGATTATGGTGACTATTTAAAAATATTCAATTAAGTATTCGATTCCCGTCCAAAAGCATTTAAAGTTATGCAACAAATGCCCTTGTTCGTTTGATGGTTTGTTCGTTTGCTCTTCGATTGTTTGCCTATCCGCATTCGTCATCCTTCCGTTTTCGACTCCCGGTCACGCTGTTCCAGTGTTTTGGGTACCAAGGGGGTAAGTTTCTAAAGAAACTGTGGTGCTGCGTCGGTAGGAGAGTATAACTGGGTAATTTAGTATTATCAACTGAGTTGATCACGTAAATTGGCCACCGTGAAAATTTCTTGTTTGTGTGTGTGTGTTTTGTTATTTATTTTTTTTTTAACAAAGTACGGTACTTCTCTAACAATTGTACTTCAGCGAATAATTTATGTATCAGGGAATACCTGTAGGGGTCTGGAACAAAATAAATTCCTGCCAGTTCGGTAAATCTTAATCCCCCATTTTAAAGTAATTGCCAAACCTAACCTGATTCATAACATTTAAACGTGACTGGGCGGTCATTCCAACATCATTATTTGATCGTTTGTATTCTTTATTTACTCCGGTGCTAACTTCTGAATTTTGTCACATCCTGCTGTCACGCCATCTATTCGATACTCGATAGAGCTCTAGCCGCGAGCCGAGGTGCAATAACATGGCTTCCGTCTTTGTAACGCAGTTTCGTAAACGCTGCAGTCCCCTTCTGACTATTTTTGTGTTAGTTGCTGTTCTGCTCGTTTATCATGTTACTTATCACGTGAGAAGTAAGCATAGAAGAGAAATAAGATTCCTGACGTACAACATTTGGGACTCCTTTCTTAAGATGCGTGAAAGAATGGAAGAACTTGGAAAAATTGTAGAGGATCTCGAGCCAGATGTTTTAGCATTTCAAGAAGTCACGCTAGACAACCTGGCAGTTCTACGAGAACAGCGCTGGTTTTCTCGCTACCATCTTATTCCACGAGGCGTTTTGAAATCCGATGGAAAACATTTTGTCATTATTTTGAGTGTCTTTCCTGTTGAGAAATGGCTGGTTCATCCATTCACAAATAATGTGGACTCTACATCGAATCGTGGTCTTGTTTTAGCAGAAGTAAGGAACACCGTTTCTTCTAGAGATGTTACTTTTGTCTTTGTAGCAACACACTTAGCATACGGTGGCTTCGGCACTACGCAACGCGAACAACAGTTGAAAGAATCATTTCCAATTATCTCTTCTTACGACAATGTTTGTATCATGGGAGACTTGAATATCTACGAAAATATCGATGGCGAAGTTGTGCTGCCACCAGCTTGGTTTGATGTGTGGCTATCGATTCCCGGAAATTCAAACGAAAATGGGTTTACGTGCGATCGGTTAAAAAATTCGATACTGAAAGGTCCTCCTGCAGTGAATGCAACAAATTACAAGGCACGCTATGATCGCGTGTTTTGCAAACTGTTGGACTTCAAGGTTAAAGAAATGAGAATTGTTGGCGATGAGGTGACAAGAACCGGTATATTACCTAGTGATCATTTCGGTCTTTTTACGGTGGTTGAACACATAGAGAAATTTGAAACTGAAAAACAGAAACAATCAACCGGGAGTGAAAGTAAAGTTTATTTTAAGAGGCCAAGAGGCTGGGAAAAATTAATTAAGTAAGTAAAGATCACGAGGGCTGTTCCCTTCATGTTGCTTCAAGTTAAATTATCTGTCAGAAGAAGAACTGTAAGAAGTGCTTTAAAAAGTACTCTAGTTTGTAAGGTAGTATCTTTTGTTGCATTAGCACTGTAAATATCAGTTGTGTAATGTTTGAACATTGTGAGTATTGATTGCAGTTACTGTAGAATTGCATCATTGACAGTCACATTGCATATCACTTGTTCACTAGTTGATATATTTTGTTTGTACAGGAGTTAATTGATTTCAGCTTGATTTACCAGTTTGCATAATCATCAAATTACCTGCATATGTATATGGATTTTCTGACAGATGTAGTTTAGTTGATTTGCAAGTTGTAAGTGTTTTTGATCTGATTAAGCAATACATTATTTGATCAGTGCATGATTGCTGAGTTTATAAAAGTTACAGTTCATATATACTGCTAATTAAATGCAAATGAAAAAATTAACAGATGGCTAAAAAAATTTTTTTTCATTGCTTTTTTTTTCTAAGTTGAAGCCTGGAGAGGTGTATAGAGGACCATGGACAAATCTCTAACAACATTCTGCTCTATTTCTGCCTCTAGTCCTTTTGGCTGCTTAGGGAGGCACAGCATGTATGTCCAAGTGTCTTCCCCTTCCTCAGATGCTAGTCCTATCCCAGTACTTGTGTTTGGGACATCTCATGCAAGGCACTCATACATCTCAAAGGATCCAAACTTTAGTTTCAAAGAGAAAACACCATCCTTTTGCCTAGCTCTCAGTTTGTAAAGACATAGAAAAATTGTGTGATTCCTAGAAAATTGCACTGCTTTTTCTGTTTGTAGCCTTTATTTGAGAGACTATATTCAGCCTGAATGTAGCATTATAAAACTGTGATGTTGAAACATTTCTTCCTCCCTTTAAGCCAGCTCCTTTATTTCTTTCCACTATCAAACATAACAAGCTACTCATGGTTAATGTGGAACTTATCATCTTCAAGGTAGACTCCAGAATTTTCAAAACTGTTCCAGGTATTTTTTTGTGTGGCTCCTTGGGGGTTTAGAGGAGAGATGTGCAACTCTTAGCTGTGTCAGTGGCAAACTAAAATTTTGTTATTTCGGTACCAGTCTGCTGCGAACTTTACATCGTCCCAGCTCTATTCGACCAGCGGTTACTGCCATGAGAATAAACATCTGCAGCTGTTTTCATCCTTGAGCGAAGCTTAGTGATTTTTCGAGAACCTGCAAGTTTTCTACCCGCAGTTGTACCTGTAGTGGTCCGCTGGGAAACATTAAGGTCCCTCTTTCTGTACAATCGATATGAGTTTGAGGTAAATAACCACTTTTGTTTTCGATGGAAGTTAGTTTTCGTGGCGTCTTTGACGTGGCGATGATTGACTGTGTGGCTAGTTCAAGTGATAAAAACTGCTTTTACTGTAATAGCTTTCTTTCTGAATGCGATAGTTCAGATCTAAATTTACGAAAACAACTGACTTTTGAAGTCAGGGGCGTATATAGTCCTAGAAAATGGTTCAAAGATCGAATGTTAAAAGTCTCAAATGGGTGACTTTGAAAATGAAAACCGGAATGTATTGGTAATATATATATGTATTTAGATACTTGTTATGTATGTTCTGATGGAAAAGGCGCTCCGTTTTGCGCCTAGTTTTAAGAAATGCGCAGTGTTGCACTAAAGAGGTGGAAGTACGCGCGACTTCGTTTACACTCATCATCACCCGAGTCGTACTCTGTTATTGGCAGTATACTCTTTTCGTTTGGCTCTTCTGCGGCGGGGCTTTCAATCTTTAATTTTTACACGAAGGAAGGGTAGACGGACTTGCTTTTAACTAGTAAGACTACTCTGTAAATCCGTATAGAGTTTTGCGTGCAGAAAAATCGTTCGGTATAGAATTAAAAATTTTCTAATGTAATTAGTTTTTACTGATGTTGGATATAAGTTGCAAGGAACAATATTGGAAGAAGTCGACATCGATAAATTGTAAATACTACTGGAAAAAACCTGTCTTTTCCTCTCATAACCGTGTCTAATAGCAGTTGAGGTGTCCTTTTATAGCTTGATAACAGAGTAATTTTTGATCTATAGTCAAAAGTGACACTCAAGCTCTGCAGGTGATACACAAGCTCTGATATCTAACTCTGATTTCCCACATTATTTTACTTCATTTTCCATGGTCGTGTTTTCTGATGCACCTGGCCACTTCTTACAGTGCAATCTGACCAAAGAAAAATAATGCAAATTAACAGTGAACAAAATTGATAAATATTTTAATATCTGAATGCACATTTTCTGCCACTCTGTCAAAATTAAATTTCTCACTCTGTTCTCTGTCAGCAAACAAACTTTTGCTGCATTCAGAAAAACCTGAAAAGAACACTTTATACTACTTGCAAATCCTATAAGCAATTCATGCTGACAAGACATTTATAATTTTTGATAGATGTGTTGGTCATAATTTTTATCCTCTGTAGAGTTCATGTGTGTACATGGAATGTCAAGGTAACACAACCACCAGATGAAGACTTCAGATCACTTTTGCACCTTGACAATGAAGAACAACTTCCTGATATTGTTGCCGTGGGGTATGTATTCTCTCACTTAAACAAAGAAGTGTTTTTTATGATATCTCTTTGCTTTACTTTATGTATTTGATACATGCCACACTATTTATATCAATAGTTTCCAAAAGATAAGTGAAATTAAAATGGAAATAGTAAATGAGGAATGGAAATAAGGTGAACAATGATAGTTTTCTATTAGTAGTGTTGTCTAATATCTGAGGTGTTTTTTGTAGTATGGTCAACGTAATAACTTGTGGCACATTAGATCCAATTTGTGTGTGTAAAATAAATCCTTCTTTCAAAAATACTCATTATCTGGCTAACATCAGTATTAGTCCAAGTAAAGTTTCTAGTAAACAAATATATGTGGGTCAAGGCAAGCCACTAAAGGCTGAGATGAAGAGTGAAGCTGGTAATTCCCCTCTTAATAGAATTATTTGATTGGTTGATAAGATTAATTTGTTTGAATATTGGATGATTTGTCATCAAAACAGTTTGATCATTTCCGTTATGAATGTGCACATATTAGTTCAGATAACCTTGGTTTATTCTTAAGCTTTTAATTAATATCATTGTATTGACTTGTAGTTTGCAGGAGGTTGATGCTAAACCACAGTCATTATTAATTGAATACATAAAGGAAAATTCCTGGGTAAAGATCCTTCAAGCCTACCTTGGGGCATATGGCTTGGTTAAGGTATATAGACATGATTATGTTTTTTTTTTGCTTTTTGTTTTTGTTTTTTTTTCAGATACATAAAGGATATTAGGCCAAGCTGTAATGACACTATTTTTTTTCTCTGGAATGATGAAAACAATAATGTTTTAAACAAGTATTGTGACTTGGTAAAATGCTTTCCTTACTACCCAAAAATAAAATTCCTATCTTCAAGCCACCACCATCCTTTTGATCAAGTAAAAAAAAAAAAGACAAACTATTAGGTATTCAATACTACAACACTTTGTTCTTCTTGATGAAATAAGTAAGCAAGAGATTGAAAGGAAGAAATAGGCAGCAAAGATACATTTACAAAGAGAATAACACATGGGCACATGTACATGTAGACATGGAATTTCTCTTTGAGTGTGCATCCTGGTATCTCACGAGTATGTGTGGAAAGCAAGTAAGATGTTGAGTTGAATGTAAGTAATGGGGAATTCCTACTTCTTTAGATTAACATGTAAAGCACCAAAATTAAGACTTACAAAATCAATGTTGGGATTTTAAGGTTTCACTGAGTTTTTTATGTGAAAAGGTTAATTTAGTGTACTTCTCATTGCAGCTCAAATCAATCCGCATGCTTGGAATGGTACACCTTGTAGCTGTTCACACCAAGCATCTTCCATATGTGCGTGAAATTAGACCTGGTTACTGCAAAACAGCACTTCTTGGCCTCCTGGTAAAGAGGATAGTTTTTATGTGTAATTAACCCTTTCACTCCCAAGATCTCATTGATAATTCTCCTTACTGTCTGCCATACAATTCTTATGATGTTTACTCAGAGAATTTGGTATTGGATCAACTAATAATCCCATAATGTATATTTTCCTTTATTCTCATCACCTACTTGCACGATATTGTATTAATAATGTAAGGAGAACTTCTTGTCTTGGTCACTTGTGTGAGTGAAAGGGTTAAATCTCATTGTAGTTACATAAAGGTAAAGGTCAAGCATATAAGTCTCTTGCTAAATTGATATCTAAACACATCCTTATTCCCATAGCAACCAGAAATATATGCTACTCCTTTTGTTTGTTAAGTATCCCTGAAGATGTGATGGTACCCATTTTTGAGTGATTTTACGAAAAAAAATAACTGTCTGTTAACTCGTAGAGTATGTTGCTTCTACCAATCAAATTACTGCATTAGGGTATGTATCTCACACCAATCAGATTGCTGCATTAGGGTATATATCTCTTACTGATCAGATTTCTTCATTCGGCTATGTATCTTGCACCAATCATATCACAGCATTTGGATATCGTGCACCAATTACAGTGCTTGGGTATTGTTTTCTTGTAAATGATGTCATGGAATCAGGGGGCTGTGCTCAAAGAGTGGCATTGACCACAAATTTTGTGCTTATGTAATAAGTGTCATGATTGTGGCCTTTGCAAGAGCTTTGTCAAGTGAGGTTGAGATTTTTGGAATATGAAAGGTTTGCAGTTATTTTTTTGTGTTCCTTTTCTTACGTGGAACTTTATGCTACTGATAGTGAATTTTCCAGGCATTCTCCCATTTTTGACTTTTCCAGGAGTAAAAGTGATTTTAGCTACCTTGAAATTAACCCAATTGGGTTTTAATTCCTTGTAGACAACCTGAAATTTATCATGTATTTCACACACAGAGGGCAAAGTCCAGATAGGTAACAACCAATCAAGGAGCCCTCTTTGAAATATTATCCTTTCCTCTTGCTCAGTGTATCTTCCCTTATACAAGAACACAATATGTTTCAGTTTATTGTAGAGGAAACAATTTCAGTCTGCTTTTTGCAGTAAAATTATGTGGAATTATATTTTTGAGGCAACCAACTAAATAATTTTGATTTTCTTTTTGTTAGGAACAGCTGTAAGGGTAGTCTCTTTTGCAACCATTATTTGGTCTTGTCACACAATGGCTCTCTCTCCAATGGGGAATAGAAGTTGTTGTGTGATGAGAACAAACAATGACTGTGAAGGAGACTACAGTAAGTGTGGCACCGTTGTATTTTATTTTTGCTCAGAAGTAATTAGACAGTAGAGACAATAGACCACAAAATACCTGTGTGAGTGTAAATAAATTATGTTTTTATCTTCCTGTTGACTTGAAGTAACAGGATATTTTGGTTCTTTTGAAAGTTATGAAAACATCAGGAACACAAAGGGTCCAGTCTCAACTTACCCAGCTAAAGAAGTAACTCTTGCATGCTATGCATGCCTATGTTGACTCCTGAGTGGAAAGAAGCTCTTCTTACTCAGAATAACCAAGTTGTACTGTGAACCCATAAGCTTTTTTTCATGTAATTTACTCTTTTAGGGAACCAAAGGAGCAGTGTCATTAAGGTTTACTCTTTATGGACAAAGCTTCTGCTTCATCAACAGTCATTTCTCTGCTCACGCTGACTATGAAGAACAAAGGAATCTGGTAGTACATCCAGTATGTTTGTCTGCACTTAATAATATGATATAATTCAAGTTAATAATAAAAGGCACATCATTATACACGATACTGAGCTTTCATAGACTTACTTTTCATACAGTTACATGTTCATGTACAGCTTGCACTATAAGAATTTGCACCTCAGATTAAAGTTGTCATATTATTTGGCTACTTCCTGCTTGTCAGATAATAAAGAGAGTGTGATGGTGGCCCTGAGAAAATACAGAATGGAGGAACTGTCTCAAACTCCTTGCTTTTGCACTCTGTGATACTCTCAGATCCCATTTAATGAAACAAGTAGTAGGTTATTTGCATAACTAAGGTAGCATTACCTTCACAGGTCATCTTCAGCTTTTGAATTTCAGAGATTGCAAACTTGCAAATTCACCTACATGCACACTGTGGAGCAATTTCAGTGACCTGGGCCCAGTTGTATAAGAGGCAGATAATGCTATCCAACAGATAAATTGCTATCTGGTGGATAAGTTATAGCTAAACATATGGTGTTATCTACAAGATAGAGTTTTATTTGTTTTCCAACCTTTGAACAACCAGGGCCTGATGTTTTGATAATAAGTTTTTTTATTATCTATTAATTCAGGAATATGGGAGCATTAGTCAACATTTGCTATTTGCAAATTGTACACCTCAAAAAGCAATGGAACACAGGTACTATATCAAAATCCACATTCTATACATTTCAACTTGTTGTTGCAATTATTTTTGTTGCCAATGTTAGTAGTGTTGGGTATAGTGGTTATGGTGGACTGACACTAGTACTAGCTATTGGTGATCTGCAATGATGATGATGATAATGAAAATCTTGTTGTTCTTAATGAGGATGATGAGGATGATGTTGCCGTATATGATAATGATGATGATGACGATAGAACCACTTTTTCTTTTTCTGTCTTTCAGCTATGTATTCTGGCTCGGGGATCTCAACTACAGAATTAATGAAACCATTGACAACATCAGAGGGCTCTGTGCAAAAAATGATTACCCTGCACTATGGAAGCATGACCAGGTAGAGTAGAGTATTGTTTCACTTTTGTGTATTTTTTTTTATGGTCTATGGACATTGGCAGGAATTTATAATTGGGTTGTCTTATACTATTTTATTTTGTTATCTTACACTATTTTATATGGTTATTTTGTTTTATGATAAATTGCCTTTTTATTACAATTGAAAGTCACTTTCACCCAAGGATCCTTCCCACCCCTAATCCTCATTTAACCCTTAGCTCCCATGAGTGACCAAGACAGAATTTCTCCTTACAATATCAATACACTATCGAGCAGACAATTGATGAGAAAAAAGAAAAATATCAATTAGGGAATTAATAGTTGATCCAATGCCAAATTCTCCAAACTAACATCACAAGAAATGGCAGACAATAAGGAGAATAACAAATGAAGTCGTCCTCCCCAACCCCCGCGCCCCCCCCCCTCCTCCAACCCCTCCTCTCTCGTGTTATGGTGTCGAGAAGAAGGAACACTCTGAGAACAAGGATTTTGTTACGTGTCGTTTTTTTTTACCATGGCGCTTTAAGTCTACAAGTTATTCACACAAGTAGAAATAAAACCTTATTGGATAGCGTTATTTTTATGGCTTTTTTCTATCCCCAGCTCTTACAAGGTCAGAAAGACGGCAAATGTTTTGAAAAGTTCCAAGAAGGAGAGCTTACCTTTCCACCTACTTACAAGTACAACCCTGGAACAGATCAGTGGGACACAGAAAGGTAGGTCACATGAAGCTACTCATGGAGTGCTTTTGGTTGGAGAACCAAAGCCTAAGAATTCGCAATGACCAATCAGATCAAAGATGGAGAACATCAAGAGCCATTGAGACCTCATATGATAGACATACAAATGACCTGAAGCCTGGGTTAGTTTGCGTCTGATTGGTTGAGGAGGTGGCACTATTTTTCTAAACAAATAACAGAGCGTAGTTAAGTAGAGGCAGTAATGTTCTTTCCTGGACCACTTTTGACTCTCAGTTGAAAACTGCTCTTAAATCTGTTGTGATCCCGTTGCAGTGGAAAGTACCGCAAACCCGCCTGGACTGACCGAGTATTGTGGCTCGAATCTGAGGAGAGGAAAAACACTGTTACACTGGAGAGTTACGTTTCTTATCAGTCCTATCAAACAAGTGATCACAGACCTGTTGGAGCCTCGCTTGCCTTGAATCTTAATGTGAGTGGCTGCATATGAATGATATTAGAGCGCTGTGTGATATCGAAACTAATCGCAGGAGCCAATCAGGAAAAAGCATAGCGATACCAATGGCCTATCATTGCCCGTCATTAAACACACCCGGCTTAGAGCGCTGGAAAACAGGGTGACAAAGGGCTCGTCTATATTTATTTGCATCTGATTGATTGAGAAAATAGTGCGATTTTCTAAACCAGTCGCAAGTTGCGATGAATTCAAACCAGTGCAGTCCCGGGTTGCATTTGAATCTCAAATGAAATTACGCTATCGCTGTGTTATTTCGTTTGCTTTCGCACAGGACTCGATCTCTTCAATGGAGGATCCTATCTCGTGGAAGTTGGATCTCATGAGTCTTCCCTGGTATGGCAATGAGGTTGGTATTTGCTAAATTAATCATGCCAAAACCAAAGAACTGTGAGAGGTAGTGGTCCACATATAATGGGTGGCCGCGCTCCAGATCCAGAAGACTGGATCTTATGAGTAACAAGGGCCAGTCATATATGCAGACTTCAGCTGAGCTTTAAACGAAAATTGAAAAAAAGCCTTGCATTTTAGCGTACGCCGAAACTCTGAATTTATGCTTTGTGTATGTTGCGTGCCTGTCACGTGTATGCTACAAAAAAATGAGGTCAACAATTGAAACATCATATTGCGTCCGTTTTTTTTGTATTTTTATTTTTTTTTTCCTCGTAGGATGGTTTGTGTGTATACGTGGTGAAGAACTACAAGACGTACAGCTGGGATTGGATTGGTCTCTACAGGGTTTGTACATATTTTATCGTTTATAGGCCTTTCCAAAAATATCATCCTGTTTTAAACCTTCATTCTTTGTGCTGATGGTTTTGTTGGTAACAGTAGAAGAGGTTTATGATCTTTATGTGATGATTTAATATGAGTTTTAAAAGCGATAAAAGGACCTTTAGATCTCGGCCTTTCCCCTTCTTGACACTACATACAACTGATTATAATCGTCGAAGCAAGTGATCTTCGCTGACTTTGCTGGAAGTTGAAGTTCTTTGCGGCTTTAACCTGAGTTCGTAATGAAATCCATGTCGCCAGTAGACGCATTTAATTGCAAGAGCACTGCAAACTGGCTCGGTGAGAAGTTGCTCAGCTCTCAAACACCGAAAAGGGTTATTTCGCTCACAGTAGTTTTCTTTTGCGGGCTGTACTGTTTCTTACGCCTTTGATGATCCTCCACAATCGCTGAATTTTTTTGATAAGTAAGTGGCAAATCGTGAAGCGAAGTACGAAATGAAAAAATTACTTTCTAAGTTGATCGGTAAGGTTGGGTGTAGATAGCGACGATATTAAAGTAATCGACTCCGTCTTTACTGAATAACAATGCAACTAATTGCTTCGAAAATTGTTCGTCGTAGGTTGGTTTTCAACATGTCTTTGATTACGAAATGTATGAGTGGGCCGTGGGGGACGGGGACGAGTACGGCGAGAACGGCTGCGCGGTGTTGTTCGACTGTCTGCCAGAGGAGGCTGGCCATTACGTCATGTGTTACTATAGCTACAAGTTGGACTGCATTATTTCCGTCAGTGAACCATTTGAGGTTAGACCCAATACTTACTTCACTTTGTAATTACGTTCTCACAACGTTGCAAACATTTGTAGGCAAAGTAGGTGAAGGTAACTGATTGGATTTAGCTTTAGGGCGCAATTTAAATTAAATTGATGTTTTTTTAATGAGAATTGTATGGGCAACTTGTCTGGCTTATTACTGACTCCAGCGGCCCTCCCACTTACTGGAAGGAAAATTTTAATTTTTCATTCTTGAAACTTGAATGGTTGAAGTGCAATGCCGTTGCGAGGTAGGTTGCAAGAGACGTTTTCCTGACTATGTTTCCCCGCTTAACTCCAAAAGAGACGGGTGAATTCGAAGGGCAATTCGACGTCTCCAGTGGTTTCTTTGGGGGAGGAGCCTGGGCTGCGATATTAGTTGAACAGCGGTTGGATATGGATCCCTAGCGCTCGATAGCTTCACTTTTACTTCAGACTACTTCCTCTCATTAGCAAATTCTCTAATCTTCTCCAGATTCTTCCACCCCGAGATGAAGACAAGGATCCAGTTGAGGTTCAAGTCGAGCAGCCCACTGAGGATGTGTAAGCAACAAGGATGACAACAGCTTTTGCCAGACGCTGCACCGCTTCACAAACCGCACGAATGAGGAGATACTTTATGTAAATATTTTAGCACGGTACCTGAGCATATTTTTCCTAGCCGCCATTTTGAATGATGGGCGCTTTGCGTAACCTTGTCAGTGACGTGTCCTTGTTAATCGTATGGTGCGTTTAATGAGAAAAGAGAATCCAGAACTAGCTTCATGTAAGACTATGGAATCCTATATTAAGCTAGCACTGGCCTGAGACCCTTAATTGTCTTTCCATATATACTGTAAAATAAATCTTCGCTCACCGGACAACCTCTATCAAGTTAACGTGGACACCTAAAAAAAGGCTTTTGTAAAACGCTATTGTTACGTGAAACCTGTGGTGAGCGACAGCTGATGAGAGATTTGTGTTTCATTTTTAATGTATTGCAAAGAAGGACAGCATTCTTTACTTTTTAACACAATTCTTTTCGTAAGTAAGGGTTACTTTTTTCCCCTCTGCTGTTCAATGTCTAACTTTCTCAAAATTTCTGCCATAATTGTTTGTACTATGTTTATCTTCTTTCTGATAAAGAATTTGTCGTGAAGTAGAGCGAAGGGTATCTCTATGAGCACGGCAGAAGTTGCCGGGGAAGTCTCGGGATCTCGGAAAGTGTTCGCAAGCAGTCAGCCCTGAACTTTGTTTGGCTCTAGACTTCGCTAGGACTGTCCGATTTCGACTCCGTGATTCAAAATGGCAGTGATCGAGAGTAGATCGAAGGAAAATTTTTTAGTTAGTTTAACTTAGTTTTATTAACGAGTCCTTTGTCTATACACAGTTTTTTTTTATTTATTATAACTTAAGCATCAAGGTCGTTATCTAATATAATGGATATCTGGAAACTTTTATGAAGATTTTACTAAAGTTATCGGTGAGGGTCGTATATGCTGTACATACGAATTTTTATTAAGCAACAGTTTTTTCGATCCCAGTGCTTTTATCCAAGACTGATTTTAAAATAATCGGTTAATTTAGATTATAACTCATTACATAGGCGAACCCGATGAAAATGCACATCACCACATGCTTGATTTAGTTTTGCTTCCAATTGGTGGGGAACGGAATGATTTTAAATTGCTCACAGTAGGTAAAAGAGGCCCAATCTTCTGTCGAGTGTCGTTAAACGAAACCCCAAATAATAACCACAGCCAATTGTGGCAAAGCTGGATATAGTAAGGAGTCTTTAAGAAGTTTGGGAACTGAAAGTAAATGCTGTACAATGCGAGTAACTTAGTCAACGATTAGCTTTTATTTTGTATCTGATTGATTGATGAAGCGATACGAATCCTTTAACAGAATCCTATAACAGAGCGTGCGAGAGTTACACCAGCCTACTCCGGATTACCATCGACACTCAACTGAAATTGCCTTACATTAGGCTAATAGTGAAATAATCCCTTGCTTCTCTTAACCTTCTTTAAAATTCAAGCCACGAAAGTCACTTTTGTATTTTAGCGTACGTACTGCGAGCATCCATTAGACTATGTAACTCAGCAGGAAATCGATAGGCGGTTGAGCCCATCAAAGAAATTTGTCAGAGAGCATTTCGATGGATTGTCGAAAAACAAACATTGAAGCAATCTCATCAGCCAATGAGCGCTCAAAGTAAAACAGGGCAACTGCCTTAAGCACTGGTAACTTCAGTATGATTGGTTGAGGGGAGAGGTTAGGAAAGAACCATGTAATCCTTGCTATCAGTCGACTTTTATTTACAAATTGCTCTGAATGAAGATGAAACGAAATATATCCCGTAATGCTGTTTAAGGTTGCACAAAGTAACATTAGTTTTGAAACAAATCCGATGGACAAATGATTTAGTGGTAAATATGAAACAAATCGTTAATAAAGTAGGTGAATATTTTAACATTATACTAAGCTAATATATGTGAAATCGACTCTGTTTAAGCTACGAAAATAAATATCAAAGCAGTGAAAGATTATTAGTCCTTTTATTCCGTTGATTGTGCGAAAATCTTTTAATTCACTTCCTAGTAGATGACTGGAATCTTCGAGATAGTGGCTTGTTTTTCCCCTGTTACGGTATAATCTTACCGACAGAAAAACGCTGCAATTTCACAAGCTAAACTACTTTATTAAACGGCGAGTAATGTTCTTAATAAGGAGCTAATCTTAGAGGTAATACAATACTTTATCGTTAATAAAGTAATTAAGCCCATAAAGTCTATATCCCAGCTCACCACCGACACAATCTCACTGCTGTCTCTAAAGTCTCCTGAAACGAGCAATCTTCCGCAGTAACTCTCTCTCAGTATAGCTTTCAGAACAGTCGTCGCTCCGACAACAACAACTACTCCTAATACATAAGCGAGTCTATATGTATAAATATATTCACAAAGTGTTCCGGAACATTTCAGACGCTCACACAAGAACTATTTTAGTAATATTTCTTAATAAATACGATGAAATGTTCTGAAAGGTATGCAAGTAAGCATGACTTAGCAGTCTGGAAATTTCTGGAAGATTACATTTACAACAATTACTCATGACACCTCCCTCTCTTCTTACCCTCTCACTCAAAGGAGTGATCAACAAATAACTTCTCCACACAACATCAATACATTATCTTGCAAACAGATGATGAGAATCAACATGCACTTATTGTTCTCATTACCTCTCTGGTTGATATTGTATTGATACCGTAAGGAGATTTTTTGTCTTGGTCACTCATGGGAGTTAAAGGGTTAATGAATTATTTCCAAGAATTCTTTTATCTCTACAATGGCCATCTTTCATGCCCTCAAAAACTGGTGAGTTGTCGCTCTCCTATACACAGTGCGGTCTACGACGGTGCGTAGCTGCTAAGCTATTAGCATTATCCACATTTAATGGGCTTATTCTATTTTGCGAAACGAAACGAAACCAAGGGAGATATAACGAAACTAAAGGAATAATGCAGATATATTTTGTACTAGGGTAAAGATAGCTTTCACAAGGATTTTGGAGTAATCGTCTACTGATAAGAAGGATTTTTATTAATTTCACAAAATAGTAATTTTAGAAGAGTTACTATTTCGCGAAATCGACTATTTTCACCCCTGCGGTGACAACGTGACCTCTTTCATGTCACAAAAGTATATTTAAACATTAAAAATTAGTATATCACCAAAAATTTTGGCCCCCTCTTATTTCTTAAACCGTATTAGAATATATCTCGCAAAACAGCAATTTTAGGAAAGATGGTATTTTATGAAATGGATAATTGGTCTTAAATTCCTACTTTGCGAAATGATTAAAAATCCTTCTTGTCAATTAACGATTACTCCAAAATCCTTGTTAAAGTTATCTTTACCTTATATTACAAAACATATCTGCATTATTCCTTCAGTTTTGTTATACCTCGCCTGGTTTCGTTTCGTTTCGTTTCGAAAAATAGTGTAAGCCTCATTAATGAGGATCCCAATGGGGTTAACCGTTAGCCGTAAAACGGCCAAAATATTTAACCGTTAGACGTAAAAATTGACAAATTTTAACCGTTAGTCGTAAAAAAAAGTTAACCGTAAAAAATATCTCTGGTGGAAACAATGGAAATGTGTTAACCGTTAGCCGTAAATTGGCCAAAATTTTAACCGATAGCCGTAAAAGCCATCACCCCATTGAGACCCTAATTAATGCACGTAATTTCACGGGTAATTAACGTGCAAAAGAAAAAAAAGGCGGCTTTTTACTGCCGGATTCCGACAAAGTTAAGTGTCATGTGTATATATATGTTGAGCTGAAAAAAAAAGCTTCTGTTTAAAAAGATCATGGGACAGAAAGTTTTAAAGGCAGAATTTTAGCTTCATTTCATTGAAACGACTGTTTGGCAAAGGTCATGGCGGTCAGCAGTTAGTTTATTCTTCGAGCCTCGATCCCAGATTGGTGTGGGATCGAGGTTCAAATCAGGACCAATCATAAAGTCGCATCCTTTCTCGGAAAACGACTATCCGACGGATTTCCTAGAATTGTTGTTCAAGTTAACTTTTAACGCAGTTGCTGTCTGTAGGGAATCTTTCGGAAAAAAACCAGAAGGAGAAAGACCTGTGTTGTTATTTTGTTCTTCTTTCTTTGGAGGTAAGTGAAGAGCATTTCTTCTCTGTCGGGCGTTGACAAGACAAGAATTCTGCTAAAGATGAGATGCAATTAGCTTGTTTGTTCGTCATCCAGCCTAGGTGTTTTGGTCACGATGAAAGAAAAAACAGTCCTAGCGATGGACGAAGTAACATCTAAAGGTTTAAATAAGATACTGTTTAGCTTTTCCGTCTACTCTGTACATATCCTGGGGTTAGAAAGAAGCTTTGAATGATTGCCGACGGTAGCTCCTCGAAGACAGCAGCAGTACAGTAGATCGAGAATTAGGCTGAAAATTTTTCCGAAAACTTATCTTCGGGAAACATTTGAACCCCTCATCTTGAAACTGTGCATCTATCAAACTTTGCAGTTAAATGTAAATATGATTATTTGAGCGATATTCATTCTAAAAACATTTGCGTAGCTAGTGGTGTGTCGAGAACAACCTGTTTGAGCTTTATGTTTCAGTATGTATTCGTTTCATTAGAAATTTTTGGATTTTACTTATTAGAACTTAAAGAGATGTTTAGACTCTAATCAGGCCATTATAAAGTTCTGTGGTACACTGATTAGGTGCCGAGGCTTCAAGTATATTTTTTATTTATTTGGGGACACGAATGAAACAAATTCAGGCCCAGTTCGGACGTCGTGCTTCCGCCGTGCCGAACTTAATTCAGGAATTAAGTTTATTGACCTGAAATTGTTGTGTTCGTCGATGATCTATTTCCATTCGTTTATCCTGTTTGCGTGTTTTAGTTTCTACACTGCAATACTTTTAAAACCAGAGTGATCGAATAGTTCTTTCTCAAACTGTAAACAAGCAACATGAAAGCTTTAACAGTTGAATTATATTTCGTAATCGTAACTCGTAATCGAATAAATTCGTCAGGTCTAAGTATCATTTGAGTTTCTGCATTGCAAAATTAACACTCTAAGAATAATCATGGTTGACATAAATAGTCTATTAATTTCTCTTCTATATTCGGTATAATCGCGTGATTCATACTTGCTGTTCATTCGATTCCTCAGCGGCAAACGGTGACTCAAGGTCATGTTTATTTAAGGCTGGACCAGCGCTAATGACTGGATAAATTAGGATTAGGAAAACGTACCACCCTATTTATCGGATAGAAATTTATGCATTCGAACAACCAGAGCAAGGTGTACAGCTGAAATGATGTGCCAGACATCTCATTTTGCTTGGTCATTAACTTTCAGTAAAATGGCGTCTGTTGTAAAGTATATCGTCATGTTGGCCATGTTTATCCAGATTGCCCAGTCGGGTCCACTGGCGTATGGAATCTGCCAGACTGGATGTAACACACTCTGGGTAGCCTGTGTATCTGCTGCTGGTGGTGTGGCAGGTGTTTCCACAGGAGGCGCAGCAGTCCCAGCTGCTATTCTGGCATGTAATGCTGCCCAGGGTACCTGTATGGTTGCGTGTATCGCTGCTGGTGCTGCACCTACACTTTAGTTATCGGAGAGGGATTGAGATTTTTTTTATTTTCCTAAAAAAAATTATTTTGCGTTTGGTATTAGCATAGCTTATTATGTCTGCTGGAACATTGTTCTAACATAAGGCTGTAGAAAATACTATTAATGTTAAGAGGGGATTATTTTAAGTAGAGTTTCCTGAATCAGAGCAATTTAAAGTAACACATGTACGAAATTGATGATGATGATGTAAACCAAAGTTAGACAAGTATTGTATGTCGCTTTGATGTTTCAGTGTAACTTGCTAATTAAACAACTGGAAGCTGTTAAATGATAAAACTAGTAATAACCACAGGTTAGGAAGTGCGTGCGAGGGCTATGCATGATTTGTTTCACTGAGGTTAACGATTTCATTGTAAAACAGTGGCGTTGTGTTCTTTTTCCATTTTGGGCATTTATATTTGCAGCGCAATAAAGGGTTGCATAGTGTGGGTGATTGTTTTCCCATAAACGAGACAAAGGGACCTAAGGGCCTATTTACACGGTACGACTTTGTCGCATGCGACAGGCTTACGACACGAATTTTTTCGTGTAAATCAAACCTACAACTCGCTTACGACTCTTAAGTCATGTCGTAGGCCTGTCGTAAGCTTGTCGCATGCGACAAAGTCGTGCCGTGTAAATAGGCCTTAAGAGTGGTTTTACTGACCTTGTGAAACAGTAACACCAGTTTGATTATACACCAGTTCTATTTTGTGCTGGGTTTGACAAAATGGTTGTTTTTTCACGTTGTAAATAAAAACACTGTTGATTATAAAATGGACATATTGATTGAGTCAAGGAAGATTTCGATACCCGACAACAACAGACACGAACAGGAACGTTCCGATCACAAGTTCACACGCTCGATTTTGATTGGACGGCGCGCCAGCTGTGCATGAGCTGCACGTGATTCTTCGACGAAATAGACGTCGTCCACGTGATAAAATTGTGTTGTGTGCATTCCAATTTATGGACCGCCACTTCTGCATGAACTGCACGTGATTCTTGACATTCTTAGCTTCAAGAGGGCGAAATTTACATATTATTTGAGCCCTTCAACTACATTAAAGAGCATTGACTATGGAACGTGAAACAGCTATGCTTTGGTGAGAATTGTCTTCTGCTTGGTGTTGGTTTCTAGCGGTCAGAGCGCCTGTGCTCAAATTACTGCTGCTTCGTGTTTGTCTCGCGTGGTCAAAGCGCCTATGCTCAAATTACGTCCTTTCATTTCATTGGTTCTTAGTGTCCCTAGGGACAAATATTTGGAAGGACGACTTTATTTGCTAAATTCGAGTCACTGCAAGGCTATATAACTGCCGCGCATGCGTTTGTAACCAATGTTGAGATTAGGATTGCGGGCTCCGCTGGTCGCCCGCAATTACAATTATAGTTAATCTACAATATCGTAAGGGTTTCCTGTATTGGTGTTGGAAAGAAAAGGAATGGAAATATTGTATTATTTTAAGTCATTTAATGTAAATTACAAAAAGGGTAGGTTGATTACTTCGTACTCCTTCTTGGTGGTCTTATCTTAAAGGTTGAGTTTGATCACGTTCTTCTTGTGTGTTTGGCCACGTTCTACTAGTGAGTTTAATCACGTTTTCTTCGTTGTGATTGTGAGGTTGACATAGAACTCGTGATAAGCCATGTTCTTAAATAAGTTAATTTGTTAGTCTAGGAAGAGTAAATCTTCCTGGTAATAGGTCGCGTTCGACGCCTTCGTGTTCCCAGAGGTAATTTAAGTGTAAACAGGTGATACCCCTCATGTTTCGCAACCAAAAGCAATTTGGGGGCGGCACTTGTGAGCGCCTTTCTTCTTTAACTCTTGTGACCAAGATGTTGTTATGTAACAATCTTTAAAGGTGATTTTCTCTTAAGATGCACTTTCAGGTATAAATAATACTCTGAACCAAGGTTATTTGTAATTTTTATATTGTCGATCTCGTTTCTTTTCTGGCCGATCTCAACCATAAAGATATGAAAATTAAGGTAGAAATGGATTTTGTAACTGCGTAAACAACCCTAAGGTGCATACTCAGTGTGTGGGAACTAAAATACGTAGTCAAGCGTGATTCGCTAGTTGAGACGGTACGATGACGACACAAGAAGATTGACGGCTTAGAAATGTCATCCGCAGTGTCACCTTTATAAGCAGAGATTTAGTTTTCCCTGTTATATTGGAGTTAGTCACCGTTGTAAGAACTTGAGAAGAAAAGAAATTAAAGAAGAATCAACCAAACCAACAACGAGTGTTAGAGAATTTACTTCTAACAAAGCTTTTTTAATATCATTTTATTTTACGCACAAGTGGATATGGGGACGTTTCCTTGGCTGATGGTGATTTTCATTTGGCCTACAAACTCTTATAAGAATAGTTTTAACACAGCTCGAACAACCTAATAAACATTCGTTTGGAAACATATCAAATGCAGTGGACTGGTCACATTTTCAAATGTAACAAACTTCATTTTTTTTTATTCATTTGGTGTTCAAAGCACTCTTCCTGGCCTTTTGTTCGTATACCACTTTGTTCTTATTGTACATCTCAAGCAGTGTGTGATCAGCGGCGTTCGCCAACTCAGGACGAATGAGAAGAGCGAATACTCCATTCAAAACATCTTGAACACATCGGGTTGGTAACCAGCTCTCTTCGGTGAGAAATCCCAGGCACACGTGACCACTTGACGGGCTAACATTCACGTGATATATCGGAGACAGAAAACGAACCTGAGGTTAGAAAACAAAATGGCTGTCACGTATTTAGAACAACAAAGAACCGCTTTCCGATGATTACGTCAAATTTGATATCCTCGAATTCTTGACACTTTCCCTATACAAAAACATGAAAACTACGAAAGGAGCAAGTTGAATTCAGCGAATTTTGTATAAACCGTTAGGGCATATTTTCGACAATTGAATTTAGATATCAACAAAATATTTATCTATTCCAGACAATTTTTCTTCATTTAACACCATTTATACTGATAAAGAAAGCGTTTAAGAATGTTCAGAATTACTTACCGACGGAGGTCCAAGAGGATAATTTTCACTGGGTAATGGTCGAATCATTAGTCAAGGATGCTAAGTTGGTGAAAAGTCTTAATCGGGACCCCTTGTCTTGGCTTAAGCCATTGAATTTGACTCAACCACATTCACGGTTGCGAATTCGTTGAAACACTACTACGAAAAAACGTCTTCTAAATTGTGGTTGATAAATTAAACACTAACATCTTATGATTGCTTTAAGTTATTAGGGTGTGGTTTTCTACCCTAAACAGCTGTTAGGACCGTCTTATAGGTAAATGGACTTGTGAATACTTATAGAAGATCGAAAAAGAGAGATTTCACAGAATGGTTGGAGGAAAAGTTGCTGCATTTCGCGAATTGCGTTTTGTTTGCAGTTCAACAAGCCACATAGACTCATCTGGCTTTGTCATATGTTAATAGAATGAAAATGGTCGGTTTCCCTACTTTACCTATCTTGAAGAGACGTCGGGTTTTGGGGGCGTTTTTTAAACGCTTTTGCCAAGAGAACTTATCGTCTCGTTCACCTATCCTCTCAATAAATTTTATGTTAAATGCGAGAGAAAAATCTCAAGTTTTTGGCTGCATGGTGTTTGTCAGATATAAGGTCCGCTTAATTCAGTTTTTTTCTTTTTTCTCAACACGTTGCATTTAAGAAAGAAGCTAGTGAGGATACGGTAAATAAACTTGAACTTTAAACAGTCCTCCTGAAAATTAAAGACAAAAAACATGTTGTTAATATTAAGAAGGTTTAAGAGAAGCATGAAAAAATCTAACATGCTTACCAAATGAACAAGGGTCTAACCTGACTGATATAATATTTTGAAAATAATATGAGATTGAGTTGATTTTGCTTCACTTCGATCTGTGATTGGTCTAATTAAATCCAAAATCAGCCTCCAGTGTCCAAATCTAAATTCCGCCAGTAATGTCCAAATTAGAAACCTCGCGCCAGTCTCCCAGCCAATCAGATGGAAAACTAAAAGTAATCTCGCCTTGGTCGCTCCCGTTATGACCAGTTACAGCCCTTACTTTGCACTGCCAGAATTCTTTTTGGCTGGGTTCTTTGGCCCAGATTGACCGTCGTTATCCCTCGGGTTTCGACTGGTTTTAGGACACCAGATCGACAAGTGCTCTATCCCAGCTCGTCAGATGCAGATAAGCTTAGTCTATGAGCTTCTGGAGGAGTTTGGTAGGCGATGTCTGATAATTATCGATAGAGTGACGTTAATATGATCAAAACAGCAAGTCAGGACAAAATAAGATGTCACAAGTAATCAATGAGAAATAGAGATCAAGAAAAATTCCTGAGATGCATGAGCTACTAAGTTTCGATTTCGATCAGTTTTGCCTCTAATTGGTAGAGAAGGTGGCTTTCTTTCGACCATTCACAGAGCTCAGTAAAGCAAACGAAAGCAAAAGTAATGCTCTACAGCATTTCTTTCCGGATAATTACTTTGAGTTAAATTTAAATTTCAACTTGAAATCAATTCGTAATAAGAAATGAAACGAAAATTTTTAAATCGAGGATAAGTCAGTTTTAGTTAGGTGGTCAGTTACCATCATAATAGGAGTCTTTAGGTCCCGGAACAACAGCCTCCCATAGCTGGAGACTGTCAGATGGAAGTGTCACTTCGATTCCATGAGGCTTCGTGAACTGCAGTTGTTTTAGCTCCTTCTGCACCCTATTTTACAGATGATAATTTTAGCTCCCCAAAGTAGTTTTTATTAATTTATTACGATGTATTAAAATGTTTAACAGCTGAGTTTCTTCTACGAGAGCTAACTATTAAGACGAATTAAATAAATATTTAATCGCCTACGTATTCAATTCGACTTTAAGACTTAGAAAATGAAAGAAAGCCAAGAGAAACTTATAGGAATGTTCATTGACTCAAACGAATAAGGAGACAGTTATCAACATTCTACTAGTGAATGGCTTTCTTTCTGCCTCGCGGAGACCGCACATGCTAAGGCTTTTCGGGTTGGTAAATGCCGCTGGGCAAGAGAAGTCTAAACCTTTCATGAAGAAACAGAACCTCTTACGATACTTACACCTACCCTTCCCTCCCCCCACCAGAAAGCTTTCTTCCTTCTCTCGACTCAGCGAAATGTTTTGGAAAGTCACGCGACTCTTACTGTAAATAATCATATTTGAGGACGATTGTAAAAGAGTGACTCGCCAAGAGTACTCAGTGCACTCTAGTTATTCTGTGGTGCCTTAATTAAGCGTTACAGACGCAAAGATCTAGTTTGCTTCGCATATGTAAATCGTACATTTTCATATTGGAGCAATGGAAGCACCTTGCGTTATTTCATTTTATCTGAAATTTTCAAATCAATCTCTTTAACTAAATGACTAAATACTAGATGTAGTGAACTTCTTACCTTGAAACGAAATCTCTTCTTAAGCTCATTGTAAGTGTGCGAAAGTCCTGCCTTATCGCTACAAAACGCCGTAGAATATTAATGGTTCGATGGAGCTGCTAGGGAAATTTCCTTCTTATTGTTTGAAAGGACAAAGTCTGTTTTGTTTTCAGGGAAATTCCCTTTGCTCACAGTCACGCGGGGGGGGGGGGGGGGGGGGTTCAGTACTCTCACAGGCATATTCCTTCTTAAGATAGTATGATTTTTTGCGTATTTCGTCAGGAAAGAGTACTCCACATTCAATACACTAAAAGCTGTTTCAGCTTGATCGCAACAATTCGTAAAATATTTGCCCTTAATAGCAACGTCAAATTCAGCTTTCCATGCGGTGTTTCCTCCCCCTGATCAGATCGAGACAAACAAAATTCTTGCGTTGTCACGGATTAGCAAAGAGGTCATTACCATAATAGGAGCGACAGAAACCCTTTCTTTGTTCAAGTAGCTGAGTTTCGGTGTTTCCACGGAAAATTTGTGGTTTTTTTTCTTAAAGACCTGACAAGTCGTTGTGTGACTTTCCCAAAGGTAACATTGAAAGAATTTAGATGAATTAGTCGTGAACACGAGCCGAAGCAGCGTTTTGTTTTCGGAATTTCGAACTTTTTTTTCCGAGAAAACCTTCAGTCACCATTTGAATAATTATTCAGGGACTTTCCCTCAAAATGATGTCACTAGCTTCAGTTTCATATCGGGTCGACGTAGAACTCTGAGGTGAGTTGGTGGAGTGGAATGTTCAATCCAAAGGTAACATTGAAAGAATTTAGATGAATTTGTCGTGAACACGAGCCGAAGCAGCGTTTTGTTTTCGGAATTTCGAATTTTTTTTTTCCGAGAAAACCTTCAGTCACCATTTGAATAATTATTCAGGGACTTTCCCTCGAAATGATGTCACTAGTTTCAGTTTCATATCGGGTCGACGCAGAACTCTGCGGTGACTTGGTGGAGTGGACGGACTCGGTATTAATCCGTTGTTAGTGAGCCAAAAAAGGTACGATCAAAGATTGCCTGTGGCTCAATTCAACCCTGCATTTTCCAGGCTTAAGTTGCCGTAGGAAATTTTGTGTACTTCTGCGGAAATTATTTTCCCCTTCAACCTCATCCACATAAGAATGGTGCCGAAAATCATTCAAGTGTTTGTGAACGGTTTACAAGGAGAGACAACCACCATTGACATTGAAGAGGTACATCTTTTAGCTTAATATCTTTTTTGTAGTCAATCGAAACAAACAAATTTAGAAATATCAGCGAACTTCATTTTAACTATTCATCATATGCCCTCTGGCGAGTGAAATCTTGCTCGAACGGCGGGGACGTCATTCTCGTTCCCAGAGTGCTCTTCCTTCGAGGCAGAATGGCAGTCGTCACGTTTGTAACGCTCTCTTTCTGTCACGTATGAGCGATAAGAGGTTATGAAGTCGGCATTTCCTCTTAAGACAATGTGTTCCCATAAATGGTGTAGTTTTATATAAATTTTTATTTTATTTTATTATCAAAAGACAATACGAGTCCGTTCTATTTTTTTTTTGTAAATAGGTTTTTTTTTCTTATTCTTATGCAGCATTTTATCTTCTTCCCTTTTTATCTTTTTTTGTTGTTTTGAAATTTAAAAATCATTATTTTATTATTATTATTATTATGAGTATTACCACTACAATTTTCAGTATTATTATTATTGTTGTCATGATTTTTATTGATAACGTTATCGTTATTATCATTTCCTTTGCTGTTTTTACTTAAGTTAAAATGATATCGCATTTTGAGTAAGTGAGGTAGCTAAATTGACACAGTCACAAGGCATCTTATTGTGTTTTAGGATGCCACGATTGCAAAATTATATGAATTGTTGAAAGAACGGAGTAGTATACCAGTGGATCAACAACGCTTGATATTCGGTGGAAAAGAAATCAGGATCAAAGATGAAAGGAATGAGCAGACTTACCTGTCAACGTACGGAATAGAAAAGCGTTCCACGTTGTTTCTTGTTTTACGTTTGCATGGTGGGTCTCAGAAAGTGCTAGATGATGATGTGGAACTTAGCGATGCCCCAGATATGATCACGTGGGATGACGATCCGGATAACAAAAGAGCCAAGATGCCTTGCGGGCACGCTATCTGTAAGTTATTTGACGATTAACCGTTTCATCCCCAAGATCTCGTTAGTATTTTTCTTTACTGTTTGCCATACAATTTTTTGTTGCTAGTTTGGATAATTTGGAATAGGATCAACTGATAATCTCCTAATTTATATTTATCGCTGTTCTTAGCACTAGAATTATTATTACAAACTCTGTCTTGGTCAGTCATGGGAGTTAGAGAGTTGAGCTTGTTTCTGATTAAATCCTGCGATTGCGATTTTCATTGTGTCGGCTTTTGATTGAATGAGCTAAAATATATCAGTTGATATAACTTTTAGAGGAAGAGAACAAGAATATTTCTTTAAATTACCTTAGGGTTTTGGATGAAAACACCCCGAAAGTGACCGTAGAGTCGGAAAATCATTTACTACACAGAAATATGTTTAACTCGATGAAAAAAAGACTCTCATTCGAAAGATTCTTCAAGTTGGAAAAGACTGGTTATGGCATATGAAATGGATGCAAACATGAGCCCATAGGGTAGCATTGCTATACTCATACCATTGCTAAATCATGTTCGGAAGTCGAACGAACATCAGCAATTTCGGGAAGTCGATAGGACATTTCCGACAGTCAGGTGAAGTGAAAAGGGAAATTTCATGCATAGCCTTTTTTTTGTCGATACATCATAGGTTCGAGACGATAAAGATGATTCCGATCAAAAAAGCATTTGCAAAGTTCACCATGTTAAATGCTTTTCCAAACTCGAGTTTAATTTCAGATGACAAGTTTTTAAGGAACCAGAGTTAAATTATTAACGAGGTGCATGATGACACTTACTGTGGACTTTTATTGTTTTCAAAGCTCCAGAATCTCTGACCATGTACTGTCGCAGCATCCTTGATGCAGGTCGATCGCGATTTCTTTGTCCTTACATCAGCCAGGATACTCCGCCGGTGTACTGTGGCACAGAATGGGACTATGTAGTTGTTCGACGCTTGGCTGTTTTGAAAGATTCAGAGAAAACGGAGTTTGAGACCAAAATCTCCAAGAACCATCTGATCAAGGCCATGGGTATTCAAGAATGTCCCAGCTGCAAATCTTTAGTGGAACGAATCAACAAAAAAGATGTGCGATTGGCCTGCTCTTTTTGTAAAAAGAAACTTCATAAAGATTTCCAGTTCTGCTGGCACTGTTTGCATGAGTGGGTCAATAGATCCAGCACAACAAAGTGTGGTAGGCATAGTTTAGGCTGTGAAACTCTCTTTTGTTGGAAGGAATAAAGAGAAACAATTCAAATCTTAGTTCACTAGCATGTATGCCTCCCTGGAATAAAAGGGATTGGGAAAGTCAGGACATTATTCTTTCACTCATAGTTCATGAAATATTGTGTTTAAGTTATCTTGGATGTGGAGTCACATCCTAGGTTTAGTGAATGTGAACAAGTAATCCTCAACAAATCAGCCAGCTGGTGAGAAAACTGTCCTTAACCATGAGGCTCACCACCTTTATTGTGATCAGTTCAGTTTTCGACGCGTTAATGACGCCTAGCCCACTTGGGTTTGTTTCGGTATATTACCACTCCGCTGCACGACGTTTTTCCTCTTCCTTTCTATTATTCTCTCTAATTTTGTTTGTTTATTATTCTTCTTTTCAAAATCATCAAACTTCGCTATGTTTGTATTGTTTAAACTAGACATTTCTTTACCATTTATTTTCCAGGAAATGCGGTTTGTGCTGGAGAAGACAAACGTCTGAAGATTCTACGTAACTGCTCCAAGAAGGAAATTGTTGGAGTTGAAGGATGCCCCTCCCTCCGTGCATGCATCTCATGCGGTATGCTGATTGAACATGTGAAGGACTGTAAGCACATGACCTGTCGATGTGGCAAAGAATTTTGCTTCATCTGCTTAAAGCCCAAAGAGAGAAGCGGCTGGAAGTGTGGGAGATTTAACCAGGCCTGTGACGTAGCATCAGTACAGACCGCGATTCCCGGATCCTAAACTTGTTAGTCAGTTGCAAAATGAATTGCGTTCACTGAACACCTGAAAATTTAGTCTGGGACTGTGGACTCTGATAACTTTGAAAAGCTCTGGAGATTTGCTTTAAGTATCTCGATAAATGGTCATATTATGTTATCTAACATTGCTGCTGTAACAGTGTTAGATAACATAATATGACCATTATAGTATGGCATTCCACTAGGATGTATGAATACTTTGAGTCGCTTTTTACCGCTTGTAGCATCAAATCTAGAAAACGGCATTAGCATCTGTCCATAATTCCAGTCTTCCTGAGGCGTATGGTCCTTAAATCACATGTAAGAGATGAGAGAATCAAATTTTGTAGAGAGTGATGAACTTACAATTTTGGGTTGTTGTCCTTGAGTGTGCAATACTTGTAGGAATACCAGAATGAAACCGTTTACTACCAGAATGCATAAAGAATTTACTATCACAACTAATAATTAAATTGTACTGTGTGATAAGTGTTCAATTGAGAAGAATTATTTGCTCTTGTGACTAGATTTGGAACATTTGTTTACTCAGTTTTAGTTGAGTTCAGTTCAGCTCTAGATTTAAAGTTTATTGTTTGTTAAGTTTTTAACCTGAAATAAATTAATTGAGTGAGATGAGTTGGAAACAATGCTTCTACTTTAGAGCTGCTCCTCTATAACATTTGAACTGGCTGAGGCTGATTGTGGGAATTGACGAATCGAGGAGCGCATATGAGTAATAGGACTGGTCTAGCCCAATCACAAACCTAACCCTAAGCAAAATGACAATCTAGGTGGTTTACAAAACGATTCCAGTTTTCACCTGTGCTGATAATCAAGGCTGAATCAAGGCTTTAGACTGAAATATTTATTAACATATGTTAAACATCAGTTTCTGAGTTTCTTTTCGTCTTAAACACTGAGCTTGGATTGTAGAGTACAAGCTGTAGCTTAGAAAAAAACACGTTTAGATAGCCTGACTGACGGATACCAAAAAGCTAGCACAGTATCTTCCCTACTACACTTTTCGTTAAGGTAGTCGTTTCTTTCGAAAGAGAAATGTAATCGTTTTTCTCACGATGTGGTCACTTACATTCGGATATGAATCCCGATGTTTCCTTTCTGTGGATAGCGATGTTTTCATTTTTGTTACCCTCTGCTTCCTGGAACCTTTTGCCCACTCATCACTTTAAGAAAACTCGCAGTATCCAGTCGAAACGTCGCTGTCCTCATCCAAAGTGACCACATCGTGGGTCAAACTGTTGCATTTCTCTCTTAAAAGTGTTATTCTCTACAATTATTATATAGTCGTTTTTCATCTTTTAAATCAACACTTGATCAAACAAGTCTAGAAAAAACAAGCTAAAATAGCAGCTTCTTTGGACATATCTTCCTCACTCCTAAAAAATGCATTTTCCACCTCATTGGACTCACTTTGTTGTTTGTCATGAACATCGAACGCTCTTTAAACATCGTCATTGCTTTCAAAATCTCCTTTCTTCCTTGGTAACAGGTGGACATGGACATGGACATATTCCACTGTTTGTCCTGTTTCGGGTCCATCTTGGATTGCTATCGAGAGTGAGGTCACCCCATACTCTTTCTCAATAACACGAGCAATTTTTTGTGTGCTAGCGAACAAGTCCATGACTTCTTCCTCTGTTAAGTCATAAAATCTATTTACAAAACGAATAGGAGACACAAGAACATGTCCAGGGAGGACTATCGTTCTATTCACGAAAGCAAATGATAATTTGGAGCAGAATAACACCTATGAAGGCTGGAGAACAATCCGTCTAAATATTGGAACGTTTTGGCAGCCATGTTGAATAAGGAAGTGACGTAACCGCTGACTCGTGTGCGGGCGTCAGTAGGCACATGGAATAACATGGCGGTATCCAAAACAATAGAGGAAGGGGTAAAGCGTAAAAGTATCCCTCGCGGAAAACCAAAGTCCGGAAGGGTTTGGAAGAGTGAGAAGAAAAATTAAGTTTCTTTTAGGGTTAAATGTCTTTTTTAGGTCAACATTGCGACCAAACCTTTATAGCAAAGATCAAAATTCACTCTTTACTTGACAACGTCAATAGTTTGGAACAAACGACATATACGCCGAATCGGATACGAACTGGACTTTCTTTTTATCACATCAGATTTTATGATGAGGTCTTTTTTAAGTTGTTGATTCGCAAGACTACGGGAGATAAAATCCCCTCTGAACGTCTTTAACAGTGATGATGGTGGCTAAAAATAAGGATTGTTATGTGATATCCTTTGACGTACTGCAATATTGACTGAACAATATTTTTAATAACGTTGTAATATTCCAATTATGAGCCATCTATGTGCTTAAAGGAATGTGATTGGAAAATAGTGTTCACTTGATCACAGTCGGTGACTAAGGATTATTGTGTAAATAGGAGTGATTTCTGTATAACTCCATCATGGAGTATATACAGTATGATACTATCCCAAAACAAAGCCGTACTCCCTAATAAGCTAATCTATAGTTTCGCCATTTTTTTTCTTTTTCCAAGAACTGCAGGCATAATAGAGTATGGGACTGTCCAGAAATCTTGCTTGTGAAAGTCAAATTTGCATTTAATTGTAAAATCTTGGCCTTAAAGTGAGTGGTGCCATTTATTGTAATTTAGGCATGAGCACTTTTATTTTCAAGTTTCACTTTGTGAAACCACCTATCTCTGAGGTGACAGGAAATGAAGTTCTCAACTGTAAAACTTCTGCTTTGTAAAAACCATTAACATAGGCTCTGGGGACATTACAAAGAATATGGCTCATTTTCCCAGTTCTTTTATTAATATAATTTTCAGAGACAATTATTTGACACTCATGGGTCAATGGGCTTACAATTCATTCAAGCACCATTGGTGTGAGCGCAATCTGGGGTCAAGTGGAGAATTTTACTCTGGTTGCAGGGGTAGAGAACACCTATTCTCAATTGTGCTGTATTCCCATTTCTTGGACTCTGAATTTCAAGCTGTACATCTGCATTGTTTATCATTAGCCTATATGAAAATTAAATTATCACAGACTTTAGAAACATTAGGCTGATGTCTTGATTGGTAATTTGTGCAAAGCAATCTTAGAAGACCAAATTGTTAGTTGTACTGTAGCAATATTATGATAACGATGATGATAATGATAGTAATGCAGTGGTGATAAGAGTGATAATGATGATGATAATGATACTAATATTGTTGAAGCCAATGATGTTATCCACATGCCTGTGATCAGCAGCTAAGAGTAGAACCACCTAGCAATTGCTCATATGCATGATGACCCCAGTTGATGAAAATTTACCCCCAAACTTCATTTCCATTTAGATTTTCACCAATTTTTGCCACTTTCTTGTTGTTTTCATATGGGTATTCTTTTGATTTGAGTGTTTTGGGAAAACCTTCCCTTTAAAATTTGCTTGTCTGTACCTTGAAAGCGACACATAAAGGTGAAATTAGGTATTGTGATGTAAACATGCCTTACGCCTTTTGAAGACATTTAAATCTGATGATAACAAATTTATGATTTAAAATTAGGAATCAATCAACAGAAATAAAATTGTGAAGTCTATTATAATATACTGTTTACTCAACCATGATAATTATTCATGCCTCAATCCCAGGTGCACTAATTTAAATATTTGTATTCTTTCCTAGAAAACAAATATCCGTCTGAGTTCTTAGACGCGCCACTTAAATTTTGACTACGCAGAAGCTGTGTGCAGGGAAATTTTCTGAAGAAAACCAAAAGGAAGAAGACCTGTGTTGTCATTTGTTCTTCTTATCTTTGGAGGTAAGTAAAGATCTCCTACCATGAGCATTTCTTCTCAGTCGGGCGTTGACGAGAAAGATGTAATTAGCTTGTTTGTTCGTCATCCAGCCCAGGTGTTGTGGTCACGATAAAAGGTATAAAGTCATAGCGATGTATTTTGCAGCATCTAAAGCTTTAAATTCGATACCGTTTGGATTGGTTTCCTGGTGTTAATAGAAGTTTCGAGTAATTGCTGACGCCTGAGCTTCACGAAAACAGAAGCAGTACCTAAGGATTAGGCCGAAAGTTGTTCGAACAGGAGACTGCTCTTTGTCTGGACTCTTTCTTTTGACTGAAAGTTGAGGCATCCACCATTAACTTATATAATTATTATCCTTTACTAGTTCCCGAATGCCTTTGTCAAGCTCGGCTATTCTTGACTGACATCATTGCAATTTCCCATGATATTTCGACTGGAGGAATTTCCCGCCTAAAGTGTACGGTCGGTTTGATTTACCGCATCAACAACAAGATTATATTTTGAGACCTTGCGAATCCATCTGCTGGATTTCTCCCTGTCTAATTAATCCGGCACAGAGACCAATTGAAGATATAACATGCATGTTATTTGGTTACCTGGCGTTGAACGAACAGCCTTTGTTGGCGCGCTTGAGACCTGCTGGCGGGACAGAACGTATTGTAGTCATCGCGGAATCGACGAAACAATTCGTTCTTTGCAAAAGCTTTCGGCCTGATTTCACATTAACTTTTCGTTAGCACATACCATGACTTTTTGGGGTCGAGATTGGATCCCGTAACTTAGAAAGCTCAGCAGATCGATCGAAGACTTCAGCCTCCATGTTAAGATCGCGCCGAGTGATTTAATGCCAGATTTGTGTTTTCGTAATTGAAATTCGAGCATAGATGCAGTATTAATAATTAGGTGAACCTTTCTGGACTCTTTCTTTTGACTGAAAGTTGAGGCATCCACCATTAACTTATATAATTATTATCCTTTACTAGTTCCCGAATGTCTTTGTCAAGCTCGGCTATTCTTGACTGACATCATTGCAATTTCCCATGATATTTCGACTGGAGGAATTTCCCGCCTAAAGTGTACGGTCGAGGGCGATTTGATTTACCGCATCAACAACAAGATTATATTTTGAGACCTCGCGAATCCATCTGCTGGATTTCTCCCTGTCTAATTAATCCGGCACAGAGACCAATTGAAGATATAACATGCATGTTATTTGGTTACCTGGCGTTGAACGAACAGCCTTTGTTGGCGCGCTTGAGACCTGCTGGCGGGACAGAACGTATTGTAGTCATCGCGGAATCGACGAAACAATTCGTTCTTTGCAAAAGCTTTCGGCCTGATTTCACATTAACTTTTCGTTAGCACATACCATGACTTTTTGGGGTCGAGATTGGATCCCGTAACTTAGAAAGCTCAGCAGATCGATCGAAGACTTCAGCCTCCATGATAAGATCGCGCCAAGTGATTTTAATGCCAGACTTGTGTTTTCGTAATTGAAATTCGAGCATAGATGCAGTATTAATAATTAGGTGAACCTTAAACTTATAATCAACAGGTTTAAGTAACCGCACAGACACCTACCGACCACAAACGTTGATGTAATTCTCTACACTGATGACAGAAATATAGCGCCTCCGTAGAATGCATGCTGCGAATTTTTTTCGGGGCCAGAGCTCCTTATGAGCTCCACGAAAACAGAAGCAGTACTTAAGGATTAGGTCGAAAGTTGTTCGAACACGTCTTGGTTAATTGTGGTCCCCTCAAATTTCAACCGAAAAAAGGTTTTTTCGCCCATGAGGGCGCAAAGATTTATCGTTTTCGCCCATAGATTGGCTGTTCTTCAATTCTCACTTGTTGAGTCGCCATAATTTTTGGCTCGACCACCCGTGTGGACAGCGATCGGAAGTACAAATTTCACAGATTTTCTTTTTCGAAAAATGCAATAAAAAGATAGGTCACCGGGCTTGTTTAAGAGATATGATGGGCTAAACTTTATGCCTGTGCTAGCACTAATCACGCGCGTCATTTCATCGGTTCAAGGTTCATTTTGAGGTACATGGAAGCAAGAGTTTTTGAAAAAATATTTGGAAAAAATCTTAATTGGCAGAAATTCTCGAGCGTATGGAACAATTTGAAATATTATTTGTGGAAAAATCACGTAATTTCAAACGACATCGACTTAAAACGTTCCTCGAGTCATTGCTTTCAGGGTCTTAATTTGCGTCATCGAGTAACTAGCTTTGGGCAAGCTTTTAGCTTTACTTTTTTTTCCCTTCTAAGATTGTTTTTTCATTTCTCCAATTAAAAGGGAATAATCTGAATACCAACATTATGCAATAAAAAATATAGGCAGAACAGGATGCATTGGGCAATACTCAGGAATCACCTTAACTTGTTTGGGGTGCGTTCCAGTTGGGGGGCGAAGCGACAAGGTCTGGAACCGAGAAACGATGGTCACACAGATCACACAACTTGCAAAGCGGTCAATTCACGGGCTTGTCAGTGGTTTCCCTAAGCGAAGTGGGCCGCCCAAACCTTCATGTGTGAAGTTTTACCGTTGTTTTCTATAACGGTTTGAAATCTTATCGTAGGTTCACTTTAGATTAAGGATACGCTCTTTTCTTTTGCCTATTTGTTGATATTTCTTTGGCGAAGCCTGTTCGAGGATGCGAGGAACCTTAAAAAACAAATCCGAGTTCAGGTGGGAAATGTCTTCGTCGAGAAGTTTAAGTTGCGGCTCAAAGGTCTAAGCTTCGATCAAAATCGTACAAACACCTCCACGAAGTTCGTTTGTCAAGGTACTTTAAATGAAGGATTTGTTAAGGAAAGTAATTTTAACTTGTTAAACTCTTCATCTACATCGGCTAGTTATTCAAGTGTGGGGTAGATTCAGTTGCCGTCATTTATCCTGTCTATCCGCTGACAATTTTTTACTGAGATGCCTTTGCAAGTTGTGAAAACATCGTTTCGATTTAATATAAGAGAATGTATAGGAAGTTGTTTCCATTTAAGCTACGCGGTATGTCTTTCCACTCGTTAATGCAGTGTTTGCATGTTTCAGTCTCAACACTGCAATGCTTAAAAAATCCAAAGAGATCGAATAGCCATTCCTCAAACCGTGAAGAAGCAGCATGAAAAGTGAAACAGTCGAATTCTATTTCGAAATCATAATTCATGATTGTATAAATTCAGGTTTAGTTATCCTCTCACACAAGGTCCCCGTACGAATCACTTGGGCCACTCTCGCTACCTTTGACAGAGACCTAGGGCTATGGGAGCAGATCAGAGCATCATTAGAAATGTGAACAAATCTGAGACTTCGGCACCGAAATTAGATGGGTCAATCTGCTCGCTTTGATCCTACGCAAGAGAAAAAGAGGTCCATAAAGCACATAAATCACATGATTCATTCTTGCTGTTCATTCGATTCCATAGTGGCAAACGGTGGGTAAATTAACTTTAGGAAAACGCACTACATTATTTATCGGATAGCGATTTTATCCATTCGAACAACCAGGAAAAGGTGTTCAGCTGAAATGATGTTCTTAACATCTCACTGTGATTGATAATTAACTTTCAGCACAAGAACAGCAAAATGGCGTCTGTTGTGAAGTACATTGTCGTGTTGGCCATGTTTATCCAGATTGCCCAGTCGGGACTACTGGCCTATGGAATTTGCCAGACTGGATGTAACACAGTCTGGGTAGCCTGTGTGGCTGCTGCTGGTGGTACGGCAGGTGTTTCCACAGGAGGCGCAGCAGTCCCAGCTGCTATTGTGGCATGTAATGCTGCCCAGGGTACTTGTATGGCCGCTTGTGTAGCTGCTGGTCTTTCACCCACACCTTAGATGAAAGTGACGAGAACTGACCGGTTTTTTTTCTCTATAACTCGTAATTGTTTATTATCTAACTTTTTAGGTTGGAAAAAAAACGTATTTAGAGGTGCGTTTCATTTTGACAATCGTAATGCTATATGGAGTACTTTTAAAAGTTGGAGGAGTTGCCTATACCAGTGTATATCGAGCAAAACATCAATATTCCATAACTTGGTTAGTGATTCAGAGCAAAGTTAAAAAACTTCAAGTGTGTAATATCCTATACAACATACTTGTTAGTGTGTCACAAAAAAAGACCTGAGAAGCAGATTAAAGCATTCATTTCACTCTCATGTGGTTACATATGAAGACATTTCATTAACAAATGATGATCTCAGTGAATTTATCTCAATTCAGGAAGATTACATCTCAAAAGGAAGAAATAAGCTTTATATGGAACTAACCATCCCTTATTTTAAAAAGAACTATGCAAATAAGTGTCAGCATCAAACGTGGCCAGGATATACTGTTGACCACATTCAAAATTTTGAACAAGAAGGATACGCCAGGGTATTCTTCTAACCTGCTGATGAACACACGGCGGAACAAAATTTACTCATTTTCCCGTGTGTGTTATTCGGAACATATTTATTCGTAAACTTTCACATTTAACCATTTCAAGTCCTTTCATTTTAATAAATCAAAAATGTATAAAAACCACAGTAGCTTTTAGAATAGATTTTGCTTGTTACTCGCTTTCATTATGCACCTGCATGTCGGTACTTTTGTTATTTGTTACATGGTTTTTTAGGTAAATATAAGCGTTAATGGTCTTTCTGGAAAAATTGGTTTTCATGGTAGTTTGCAGCTGAGTTTATACTCGTAACTTTAATTTCTTTTCATAAGATAGTTTCCACACCAACCTTGCATTGGTAAGCAGAAACTTTTAATTGCTTTTCCGTTTTTATTTCCTAAGCTACGCTGCTGCAATTAAGATAGGTATTGTTTTCTATACCAGAGCTGTAAATTCGCACCTAAGTTTCCTATTTTTAATGGCCTAGAGTTTATTGCATCCGTCTTTTTAATTTTGAAATTCTGTGTAACAATAGCACCTCACACCAGTTAGTTCTTAAGCAAGCACCTTGTACAGCCTTGATGATTACAAACTTGAGTACGCTAGAGGTCATGTCGCTTGTTGGCCTGACCTAGAATAAAAGTACTGTGGAACCAAACGCTGTCTCATCCTTGACGTCCGTACAAGTTCACTAGAAGCAGATCTTCGTGTACCAGGGAATCGTGAAGAGTTTCCATTCTCGCTGCCAAGTGGTCTCTACCGAGTTATTTCCCCCAGTTGTTATTGTGCCGTCTGCGAAGATTAAGTTTCCCAGTTTGGGCGCGAAAAACTTATCGTCACACAAGCTGAACAAATCTCAGGTCAAAATTCCATAATCTGGGTCACTTAATAATAATAATAATAATAATAATAATAATAATAACAATAATAAAGAACTTGTAGGTGTCAGGGCAGATAAGATCTTACTAGATATGCAAAAGGCAGTCATCTCAAGTACCCTTAACATTGCACGGAGTTTCAAAGTTCTCACTGCGCAGGACCTATGAACTGGCCAAACTTTTAACCATAACTTTTTGGGTTTCTAATATCATTTGAGAATTTCTTTATTTTACGAATTATTTTAGGCTATGGTAATGACAAGCTACGCGATTGCGCCTTGTCAATATCTTATTTAAGGAGGCATCCCTACGTTTTACTGCCATATAATAATAATAATAATGATAATAATAATAATGGCTTATTAGTACTCCACATGGTGGCTCTTCTGTACTAATTCACTAAACAAAAAAATCACACAATTGATAAAATATGCATTGTGGGTATAATAAAATAATATAATGGTTGAAATAAATATATGGATAAACAAATAACGTGCAACAAGATGTATAATTACATAAATAATGTATAAATAATATACATAAGTAATGGATAGCATATGTAAAATGGTTTAATATTGATGATGTAAAATTTATGGATAATATAAATACGCGCGTATGAAAGTAATACTGGCATGAGACAAAGTGTACAGGATATATAAGTAGGACTAGAAACTACTTGTTGCCAATGTTATAAAATGACTTCTGCATTTACTGTCGAATACTTTGAGTTCTGTACAATTTTTAATGTCTTGAGGTAGACTGTTAAATAGCATCGCAGCAGAATTTTGTAGTGTTCCAGGAACAGTCGATGGTTGAAGGCGACGCTCACAAGAAGATCTTAGAGCCCCTGCCGCTTTATGTTAGCTTATGTTCGACCAGTTTGAGGCAGGTTGGCCAGCAGTTTTGGTATAAAGCCTTGCATATCGTCCTAGTTATGTGATAGTCTCGACGATAACTAATGGGGAGCCATCCGAGTTTCAAAATGTCCGACATATCCGCATAGTGATTGTAAACAAAACTTGCCACGGCAATAATACACTTATCCAATTCCGATGACTGACTTGGAGACGTACACAAGGACATGAAACAACATGGCGACAAGTTAAAACGTGGCTCCTGAAGTAAACCGAAAAGGACCATCAAACGTCCCTTGAGAAAGACGTGAACCAATTCAATAAAGCGAAAACGTCTTTTAGGGACCGACAAATTATTTGAAATGTCCTGTCCGTGTTTGTGCCTGACTTGTGCCCTGGGCCCGATGATAGGGTGATGTCATGAAATCTCTGACATCTGGACTTTCTTTCCTTTCACTGTTAATTTTTTTACTTGTCAAGGCCCATCTTATCAAAATATTATTATCGGGGTGAGTCATCCACTGTTTCTACCCAGAATAACTTTGAAAGTCAGATAATCATTCAAATAATTTAAAGTGTTTCACTGCTGCCATTAAAAAGCACGTGATACTTTGAGGACATTTTCAACTATTCGGTTGCATCGTATAAGAGGAGATATTATTAGGGGAAAAGTAAAGGATTGGGGAGGTGATAGTATAAATTTCTAAAATCATTTTTGCAACCAACGTCATCACTACATAACATCCTTGAGAAAAGCTGAAATGGTGACATATAGACTTCAGAAAGGTAAAAAATGCTCAATTTCCTAATCTGAGTAATACTAAACTTTCTTCTTGCTCCTTCTTGGTCTCCCAATAAGAAAATGGGAAAATGCAAAACACTTTGCAAAAATTTTGAAAAGGAAAAAAGAATTTAACTTCTGATAAAGTTAATTAATTTCCGACCTAAGTCAAAGTTGCTAAATTGTCACACATTATTGGGTTCACGAAACTTTTAGGAGCAGAGAACAGCTAGAACTTGAAAATGAAAAAAAAACTGATCATCCTAGCCATTTTGTTGTTATTGAACATGTTCAGCAGAGTCTGGTCAGCAGCATTCTCTGGCTCAGGTTTGATAAGTAGAGTGAACACACCTCTTTATACATCTCTAATACAACAGGTTGGTAACAAGTTCTTCCCAGTCAAGAATCCCAGGCACATGTGACCAGTTGATGGATTCACATTGATGTGATAAATGAGAGACAGGAAACGTACCTGGCATTAAGAAATAAAAAAAAATATAAACTTTGTTCTCATCAATTTCCTTTCACTCCTCTCAAGTATCTAGACCTTCTCTTTTAGACCACAAATGTTACCAAATCAGAATACAAGTAGCCAGCTAAGTACTGATCACAAATTTGCTTCTTATCTACCTAACCCTAAAGCGAAAAGAAATAACTTAATTTAATAAACATCTAAATGAGTAGATGTGTTTTCATTTTGCAGCAGCTTACGTACCACTTAAGCCGCTGCAAATGATAACAAATAAGCAGCAAGACCAATTTTTTGTAACTTTTGAATTATTCAGTTTTAAATTTTTCTTAGGGCTTTTGATTTCCCGGCAAGTGTCTCATTTTTTGCTATGTTGTAGTACAGTTTCATATAGAGAACCTATGAAACTGACAGTGAAATTAATTTTAAAATGTCAAAATTCAAGAAGAGAACAAGATCATGAGATAACCAGGTAACTAGTACTTCCTTAGCCATGACAATCAGTCGTTCGCGCTCAAGCATGTAAAATATTATTTTGAAGTATTACCGTTGGTGGTTAAAGAGGGAAGTTTTCGCTCGAGAGATAAGAAATTAGTTAAAAAAAAATCCTAGTTCAGGTGGGAAACTAATGTCTTTGTTAAGAAGTGTAAGTTGCGACTCGAAGTCCTAAGCTACGATAAAAATCATCGGCAGAAATATTGGACAAGATGGCGGCCGTGCTTGCGCATTTCGTCCATAATGGCGTCCAAATAATATAAGAAACTGTATGGAAATTTGTAAAATTTCTAAAATATAACAATTAGGAGCTCATGGTCCCGTCTGCTCTCGATCGAGACATATTCAGTACTGATTCTGCTATTCATCAAACCTCACAGGGACTCGATAAATAAAAACAACTTACTTCCCAAGCCAGTTCTTTTGTCATTGATCATTGACCTAGGTCGCCATACAGTTCTTCAAAATCCGTCGTTCTCCATCCCAAACACTCGTCTATTACAGGAAAGTGCATCAATAAAGTCAACTGTTCTCGATCAAATTGACTTCTACAGAGTTCGAAGCGTCCAAATATCCTGTAAAATTGCCATTTCCTCCCATCAAAAAACTTCCCAACGCGCCAGAATATCCCTTATTTTCCATGTTGAGTAATTGACGAGACGCCATGATGAAAACTATGACTGAAATAGTTAAACACGAGCAACGTTGATCTTCGAATCGTCGGCCATA